CTGAAAATGTAAAGAACTCTTCAACCACAGAAGATATATCTTCAGAAAACCTAAAGAACTTTTCAACCACTTCTCTGCTTATGTATCTACTCTGATGCAATAGTTTGGATGGATGCATGTAACATCTAAACCGACCAACGCTTAAATTCTTGCCCTAATTCTATTCTGAATGTTCAGATCAGGGAACAGTTGGATGGCGTGTTGTGACATCATCCTTACGTACTTCCTACCTGAACTCCCCCACACTTGCATCACACTCCCATTCCCCCGAGTCTAAACACCTGAGCCCCCCTCACGACTTTTCCCTTTCTTCCTTTGGTACATAAAGTACTGGATCTTCTTAAACCTCAAAGCAACTTCGTAAGAGTAGCTGAAGACTTCACTATTTTTATTACAGGTGGCTTACATGCCTTTGTCAGTCATGATAACTACCTTCAGAAAGGAAAGTGTTAAGCGACCACTGGAGGGATTTGGAGTTCTTGTACCTTCCTTAGAGCAACAAAATGGTCTAAGAACCCTTGGTAATTTTTATTTGTTCTTTTTGATTCCTGAAAACTTACATTGTTCCTCCAAACAGAAGAGTAATTCTTCTCTACAGGTACACTCTTTTCCTCCATGATGTTTCCAAATCGTGCATCAAATGATGAGTATCTGTATACTACTTTTATTGGAGGGAGTCGAAACAGGGAGCTTGCAAAGTCATCAACGTTAGTAGCGCTACTTGGTTTTCATTATTATGCAAACAAACAAAAAATATATTGCTGCCATTATCTAGTTCAACAAATTGTTTTTGTTTTATTTTTACTTCTGTTTTATTCTTGCATGTTGCAACTAAACTTTCCTTCTCTTGCTTTCCAGGGATGAGCTGAAGCAAATTGTTACATCGGATCTCAGACAGCTGTTGGGAGTTGAAGGGGAGCCCACTTTTGTCAAGTACACAAACTTCCATTTACATCTTATCACTCCTGATAGTTTTGATTAGAAATAAATGTCAAGAACTTTCACGTTTGTTCACACTTTCTTCTGGCACGTTATACGTACAATGACAGCCATTTCTACTGGAGCAAAGCATTTCCCTTATATGGGCGTAACTATGATTCAGTTATGAAGGCAATTGAAACAATGGAAAAAAGTCTTCCTGGCTTCTTTTATGCAGGTAACTACAAGGCATCCAGAATTTGCAGAAATTATTCTTGTGTTTGAGTGTTCTGAATTAGAATTAGAACTAGAATTTGAGGTTGTTAAATAACTGTTATTTTTGAAAATTAAATTTAAGAGTGATTTGTTTTTAAAATTTATTTTCAGCGCATCCTCTATTATGTGGGATTTGATTATTAGTTTGATTGGCAATGTCTAACACATGGCATGGTACTGTTGATACGAGGCGGAATAATACTAATATGAAGATTCAATTATTTTTTTAGTTTTTATTTTATTTTTTATTATTATCTTTTCTAGAAGAGTAGCAAATGAAGACTCAAAATTTTATGATATCCTTTTTCATATTATTTTAAATAATTACTAGTTTAAAAAACTTAAGCTAGTTTTCTCTGATAAGCTGGTAAGTTAAGGTTAATATAATCATCAAACCTTCTTTCTTAAATCATATTATACCTTTAACTTTCTGTCATCCTCATATCCGTTTTTTGTTTTTTGTTTTACATTACTTACATCTAGCTTCGTACATATTTGTTCAAATCCTATGACATGATGTGATGGGCGTATTCTTACTGTTTTGTTACATTCAATTTTCCAATCCCAAGTAATATGAGCTATTTCATTTCTAAATCTTGCATACTTTTAGTTTCTTGTGAGTTGTGGATTTCAACCTTATGAATCACGTACCTTGTAGGTAACCACAGGGATGGTTTGTCTGTTGGAAAATCTATAGCCTCCGGATGCAAAGCTGCTGATCTTGTCATTTCTTATCTGGAGTCTTCTACGGATCAGCCGTGTGCTGAACAACAAGAGTTGAAAAAATGAAAGTGCATCCTTGTTACATAGTGAGTGATTTTACCCTTTTCTCCTGGCGCATTACATTTTCCAAGAGCCGAAGGGATGCATGATTCGAATTTACTTTCCCACGGTAGCCTGTGCCCCTTTTTGGGTGGATTAGGGTAAATTTTGAGGTTTGACAGTGCCATCAATTAAAACAAACTAAAAGCAAATTTTGTATTTAATAAAATGTTTCAGCTTTCAATTTTGTATTTAACAATTAATTAATCTATCATATTTAAATTTGAATTTTATGTCTAATAAAGCTCTAAACTTTCAATTTTGTGTTGGTAGATCTTTAAATTTTAAAAGATTTGAAAGTTCAAAAACTAGTTTTGTAATATAATCTGTTATAATGGTTGTGCTTGCAGGGACTCTCAAAACTGTTGGAAGAATCAGCTTCCAGCATCCATTATCTGTCAAGTAATTTTTTGATCATTGCTTTTAGTAGTTGTATGACTTATAACATCAACTTCCCCAAGTTGCTATGAAAATACATCTTCTGGACTTGAATGCTGTATTGTAATTTTCGTATTCTGCACAGAGAAAAATAAAATTACTATATATTTGTCCTCCAATGACCAATCCAACCTATGAAGTTATAAATATTGAACTTCGGAACCATGGTAACCACACGCATTTCATCTTTTTCTGGTATTTGAAGGGCATGTTCTTGAAACTTCTGTCGCTTGCGTGCTTAAGCAGACGCACAACCAGCTATCTTTTTTGTAAAAAAAAGTAGTGTGTTTACTGTTTCAAGTGGCCACGTTAAGAGTGGAACCACCCTTCTGTCGTTGGATCCTACTTACCCAACCAACTAAGTAATTGGATACTCCACTTCTGTTGTTAATTATATTGAGCTGCCTCAACGCCGCCTTGGGATTGAAAAGCATTTGCCACTTCAATGACGTAAGCCTGATGTGTTGTACTTGTTTTTTGATGTCATGTAGGGCAAGTGTTTAAAGCTCATGTCTCTCCGAATCTCGTTGGCCTGATTTGGAGGAAAAGGTACATTTTCATGATCTTATTTCAGTATAAGTTTCTTTGTCAAAGTGAACACTATTGTTCTGAATATCAGAATATGCTTGAGACATCGTCGATATGAATATAATTTAGTCGACAAAATACATGTGCTTATTTATAGTGATGTTCAGACCTAATCTAATAGTCAACAACCTTGGCAGGATTGATATTGTAAAATAGGTTCATAAATTAATTAATGATACTTTATAATCTTGATAACTATATCATATAATACTTGAGATTCAATTTATAAATCTGTTACAAACATTCAAATTACCTACCAACTGCTGCACAAACCTTTAATTATTAGAAGCCATTGTAACTGAGCTGCAATTTTCGGCAATGCTATGACATGTGGTAGACTAGGTCTCCGGTGATCACAGTCAAATTCTTGCATTCAAACCCTTGTCTGTTTCGCCCATTATTCGCTCATTATTGTATTTGGGTTCTGACAATTACTTACTATTATATCATTGATGCCTCCTATTAAAGTTCTTTCTTTTAATTTTGCAGCTTAGGGTATGTTGGGAATCAACACTAACCTGCAAAAGTATTTATAATAACCCAACGCTACCCAAATAATATTTTATTTTACGTACTAGCGGGCCATAATTACATTTTTGACCTTTTGTTTAAAACATTGCAATTTGAGTTATATATATATATATATTAATGATAAAAATACTTAAAATTTTGTTTTTTTTTAAAGAGTATTGAAACATTTAAACTGAATACTTTAAAATAAACTACTAGTAGTTTTTCTTTATAAAGTATCGATAAAAAGTATTATTATTTTTTGTCGTTTTAGTTTATGAAGGTAAAATAAGAATCCTCAAAAATTGAAGATAAAGAAATGGATAAGGGTGAAGATAATGTAAATGACAAAGACATGAAAGGAATATAACATGCCAATCTAAAAATAAGAGAATAAAGAATAGGTTAAATTTTTTCTATGGATATAATGTAAAGACATTAATACGACATCTATTGTAAAAATTGTAAAACTTACTTCACATCATGTATAACATTATCCATATAAATTAACGCATGGTAAACTTTTTATATATTGAAATTGAATGAAAAATCATTTGAAGAATAAAAAATAAGAAAAAATGTAAAAGATTACTGAGTTTGGCTCTGTTATCCATAAAAAAATAAGAATAAAAAAAATAAGTTATGTTTCGTTATTTTCTTTAGTCAACGTGAGATCTCACAATATACACCCCTTGAAATCTAACATGTGTCACGTGTTTGGTTTTAATATCATATGTAACAACTTAAGTCAACCACTGACATATATTGTTCGTTGTTATCCGTTACGTACCATCAACCTTACCGTTTTAAAACGTATATGCTTCACACTAAGGATTGCGTTCCTATAAAAAATAAAGTGTATATTTAAAAAAAAATAAAAATATAAAAATAAAATAGAACCGTTGAGAATGGACATGTAAAGCACAAGTGAAAGTGTGAAGCATAAGTGAGGGGTGGTATTAAATTGGTCTCACATGTTGTTTCACATTATTTATTACTGCCGCTTTCGTTTCTTTTCTTTATATTTTTTTATTTTTCATCTAATCTAAAATAAAAATTATAAAAAAGAAAAAAGTAATTAATATTTAATAGTTTAAAACCCAAAATTCAAAAAAAAAAAATTAAAATTGAAGAACCAAAATAAATAATTTAAAATTTTAAACCCAAAATACAAATAAAAATGGAATTTAAACCTAAAACTTAATTTAATATATATAAAAAAAATACATGTGGGAAGGAAATTGTGATTCGTGACCGTGGCGGTTCATTTATAACGGTAATATCTCAGACTGTGTGTATAATAATAAAAACGGGTAACTAAAAAAGAAAGCACGTGATGGCAACATCGTAAATTCTTCGAAATATGTAGGATAATAATGACAACAGAGAAATATTAAAAAAAAAAACCGAAGGAAAAAAAAACAGAGTAATAAGAAAGAAGCAAACAACACAGAGAGAGTAGCATGGCGTTTCATATTTAGCAGCGGGACAGAGCTCGCCAGCGCACTCCACTTTCTTTCTTCTTCACAGAATTCGATCTTTTTCCTGTTGGGCTCACACCCACCGCCATTTTATCCATCCCCACTTGGTTTATTTGCTCCAAGGACGAAATCTTGAGCTCTTGCATGTCAGAGAAGACCACCTTGTAGGTGTAGTTAATGCTCTTTCAGTCTTGGTTCTGATTTTTAGAGCACCCTTTCAACTACCTCTACCAATTATCTCTTATCCTCCTTAATTCCCTTCTTCTTCGTCTTCTTCCTTTTTATTTTTTTATGGAAGAGCAACGCTAGTGCTTTCTTTACTCTGCTTTATCATTTTGTCTTTATTTTCCCCCATCCCCTTTTTGTTTTGTTTGGTTTCTTCTCTGTTTTTTAGGATTTTATCCTACCGATACATTGTTTGTGATCGTCAGCTTGAGTTTTTGTATCTTGTCTCTTCCAATTCTATTGCAGCTTTTTCATCCTTGAGCGTTTGTTACCTGTGGGAAGTGTACTCTGTTTAGAAGATTCTCTGCTTTACTCTGATTTTCTCTGTTTAATTGCTTTCTCTTTTCCTTTTGGTCGGAGCTTTGCTCTCTGTTTTTGAGGGTTTAGCAGCATTACTTTTGTATTTTCTACTCGAGTGGAGAATAATTCCTGCTGGGGGAATTTCCCCAGATAGTTCGCTTTTGATGAATTCGATCAAAAGTTTTTCCAGTTTCATACCATGAGGTTCAGACAAAGAATTCTTGCGTTCGTTCTTCGTTTTCGATCATCTTGTTGATTACCCAGCTAGTTTCAGAGGCTTTCTCAAATGGGTTCTCTGCAACTTTTCCTTATTGTCAGTCTTTCATGGATTTTATTCCTTCCCAATACCCATCAGCTACAAACTTCTCAGATTCAAATCCTGTTACAGATTAGGAAGCATTTGGAGTACCCTTCTTCCTTGGAAGTTATGGACGCTTTCGATGGCGACCTCTGTAATGTTTCCCCATCTCGAGATATGACTATTGCGTGCCAGGACAATGTAGTGACTGAACTCAGAATTATGGGGGATAAGCTTGTCAAATTTAGAGGGTTTAATGGGTTTCCAATTCCGAATCAAACTCTATCTGAGAGATTTTCCATGGATTCCTTCGTTACCACATTGTCCAGGTTAAGTAGCTTGCGGGTTCTCAGCTTAATTTCTTTGGGGATTTGGGGGCCACTTCCTGATAAGATTCATCGTCTCTCCTCGCTTGAGTTCTTGGATTTGAGCTCTAATTTCATATATGGTCAAATCCCTTCTAGGATTTCCACCATGGTTCAACTCTATTCATTGGTTCTTGATGGCAATTTCTTCAACGAAACAGTCCCTGATTGGCTTGATTCTCTAACAAACCTTACCTTTTTGAGCTTGAAAAGCAATCGACTAATGGGTCAATTTCCCTCTTCGTTATGCAAAATTAGAACATTAGCTGATGTTTCTCTGTCCCACAATGAAATTTCTGGGGAATTGCCCGACTTGAGTGCTTTAACCAATTTGCATGTACTGGATATGAGAGAGAATAAGCTAAACTCTGTGCTTCCTGTGATGTCAAAAGGATTAGTTACACTTCTACTTAGCAAGAATGCTTTATCCGGTGAAATTCCTAAGCACTTTAGTCAAATGGATCAGCTTCAACATCTTGATTTATCATCCAATCAACTAACAGGGTCGCCACCCCCTTTCCTGTTCAATTTGCCAAACATTACATATCTGAATTTAGCTTCAAATATGATGAGTGGATCTCTTCAAAATCCTCTAAGTTGCAGTACAAAACTTGGGTATGTTGATATTTCCAAGAACAAGTTGACTGGAACACTTCCCACTTGCTTGAGTAGTTCTTCAGACAAGAGAATGGTTAGATTTGGTGGGAATTGTTTTGCTGCTGACTTGCAACACCAGCATGAAGCATCATTTTGTGCAGAAGCCCTTGAAGGATCAGGCAAGTCTCGAAGAAAACAAAACCTGTTGATTGTTGCCTTCATCTGTGGAGCTATAATTGTTATTGTGCTTTTAGCCTTGGGACTTATTTATTTGTACCGAAGGCTCTTCAAAAGAACAGTACAAGAACAGCCAGTACCGCCAAAAGTTATACAAGAAAACTCACCTGCTGCAGCTCCATCTGCGCTACTTGCAAATGCCAGTAAGTTATGTCTGTTTGTCTGATTCTAATGTCTATGAAAGCTTAGAGGAAGTGTTATTTTGTAGGGTTTATTTCTCAAGCTATGAAGCTAGGTGCTCAGACTGTTCCAGTATGTCGATCATTTTCCTTTCAAGAACTAAGGGAAGCTACAAAGGACTTCGATAAGTCAATGCTCTTGGGAGAAGGTTCTATAGGAAAGGTATTACCCAAGCACTTGATCTGATTAAGGGTTCTGTCAACCAAAAGCTTTTCTTAGCTGAGCCTTTCATCTACGAACTCACTTCTAAAAATGCCCCCAGGATGCTTAGATCCATGTTTAAATTTCTTATTGTGAAGCTGCTTTTGTGGACGTTGAATTTACTTCTGAAAATTTAAGGTTTTTGTTTACTTCTTCAGCTCTACAGAGGAAAATTGGAGAATGGAACCCTTGTTGCTATAAGGTGTTTAGCTTTATCAAAGAAATTTTCAGTACAGAACCTTAAAGTTCGGCTGGATGTGCTTTCGAAGCTTCACCACCCCCATTTAGTTGGCCTTTTTGGTCACTGTATAGAAGGAGACGGACATGACAACTCAAGTATCAACCAAGTTCTTCTTGTATACGAATACGTGTCGAATGGGAATTACCGTACCCTTTTATCAGGTTAGTCCACCATGAAAACAGTCGAGAATAGAATTTTGAAACATTGTTTTCTCTGGTTATTGCAAGATAATCTTTGTTATACAACAGTTTGTGTAAAACTTGCATTCTTGAACATGTTTTAGGCTCTCTTTAGCTTTGAATTTATTGATGGGATGGTGACATTGCCTCATTGTCTTCAAATGTAGAAACTTTTCCAGACAAGGTACTGAAGTGGTCAGATAGGTTGACAATTCTAATTGGAATTGCCAAGGCCATTCACTATCTACACACAGGGGTTATTCCTGGTTCATTCCATAATCGATTGAAAACAAACAATATATTGCTTGATGAACATCAAATTCCAAAACTTAGCGACTATGGCACGTTGATGATCACTGACGAAACTGGAAAACACGAGGTAAGTTAGTTAGCTTAGTCTTTGGATTTTAGTTCTTGAGATTTCTTCTGGCTTCTTTTGTTGAATGAACTTATACCATATCCTTTCTTTTTGTAGACAAAGGGAGAGGGCTCAAAACCAAGGAAAAAGTTGGTGGAGGATGATGTTTACAATTTTGGGTATATATTGCTTGAGTCACTTGTTGGGCCTATTGTAACTGGAAGAGAAGAAGCATTTCTTCTGAATGACATGGTATTTTACATTTTCTCTTCTCATTCATTTCTCAATGGCTGAGTTTCCATTCAAGTTCAACCAAAAGAGCTGCTTATTCTGTTCTTTGTGGTTTCTGAATCTTTTTATGTGTATGAAACAACAACAGGCATCCTTTGGCAGCACGGATGGGCGGAGACGAATTGTGGATCCAGTTGTATTGACCACAAGCTCCCAAGAGTCGTTATCAAGAGTTATATCTATCACAAAGAAGTGCATATCTACCGACATATCATCGTCTCGACCCTCGTTTGAGGATGTGCTGTGGAACTTGCAGTATGCTGCTCAAGTGCATGCCTCGCTTGATGCTGAGCAAAAGTCTGATTCCACGTCTTAGTTGTACACACGCACGAGAAAAGTAGATAGGCAAAGACTCTGAGCTGCCATCTCTTTCATTACATGTTCATAACTGATGTAAACTTGTAAATGTCTAGAGCGAAAACTACAGTGCACTAGAGTTCATATTTAGAGTTGACCATTTGTTGAAGACAAATAGTGGAGTGTTGCAGTGATGATTGTGATGAGTGAAGTTTAGTTAAAACAATAAATTTTAGATATGAAGAATGGAGCTGATGAGCTAATATTAAGCATAAAGTATGTGCGTGTGGAGGTTTTGAATTCTTTTTTTTTTTTTTTTTTTCGTACAAAAATGATTTGTTTGGAAGCTTCGAGCTTTTAATTCTTAATCTTTTGAAGAACTCAGAAGAAGAAAATAAAAAAGATGGCAACTTTGTGAAAGGAATAAATCAAGAACTTTCCAACTTTATTATTTTATGTTTTCGTAAGGAGGGAAGAAACTGTCAAACCGGTCGGAAGTTGCCAACATTCATTCCTTCTCTGTCAAATCTTTGTGGCAGAATTGTTTATTCAACAATCGCTGAGAAGCCCCTTTCTTCGACTTCGTTGAAACGGTGAAGAAAAGAAATGGTCGGCCATCTGCTCCACGACTTGACGGCATCTGCCATTTTCATTCCCCAACGAATCGGCGGTCAAACCACGGTACGCGCATTCCTTTTCATATAATTCCAGACCCATTTTGCTCTAATCTACAATTCTTCATACCCATTTCTCTTTCTTCATTCGGATCCAGAATGATGGACAAAATGGCGTTGTACGAGAAGGTGTTCAAGCAGGTCGACGGAGATGGCGATGGGAAGCTGTCTCCACTGGAGCTGCAGCGGTGTATGGCTGGCGTCGGGGGTAGTTTGACGCTGGAGGAGGCGGAGATGGCTGTGGAGAATTTGGATACGGACGGCGATGGGTTGATGGGGTGGGGTGAATTTGTTGCGTTTGTGGAAGAAGTGGGAGAGGAAGAGAAAGTGAGTGATTTGAAGGAGGCGTTTAGGATGTATGAAATGGATGGTTGTGGGTTCATAACGACCAAGAGTTTGAAGAGGATGTTGAGTAGGCTTGGGGAATCAAGGAGCATTGAGGAATGCAAGAAAATGATTGCTAAATTTGATCTCAACTCTGATGGTGTTCTTAACTTTGACGAGTTCAAGTTCATGATGTCCTGATTTTGTATCATTTTTCTTTATGTCTCCTGAACTTTGAACTCAGTTCAGCGGCTGCAACAATACGATTACTCCTTTTCTTTTGTTCTTTCTTTCGCTTCAAACTTTGAAGCTACTCCTTAATTTGATCTCCCTCTCTTCCTTTTCAACTTAAAATGGTTTCTTCATTCTCGTCACGAAACGTTCTTTATAAAAGTTTAGAAACTTATCCCAAACATATGCGTTTTAAAACCTTCTAAAAAGTTCAAAAGAAAAAACTCAAACTCAAAGATACAATATCTGCAACTTGAGTTATTACATCCTCCATCGAAATCATCGTTAAGGAACAATAGCAAGCGATGATGTTCCAGTGAATGTAAAACTGGTTTCATAACATGGGGCAAATGCTGTAACCCAGCCGCCACGTCGAGCCATATGCAGCCTTTGACTCCATGTTAAGAAACAATAGCAAGAGATTTGATGGTGTATGAATTGCAAAAAGAGTAAAACAAGATTTGATGACGGATTCTTGAAGCTTGTTAAAGGATCAAGAGTTCTGTTGAGCCTCCTCAACACTTTTCCTCAGAATGGATATAACTTCGGAAGGCTCGGGAGCTCCAAACACCGAACTTCCTGCAACGATGCAGTTTGCCCCAGCTGACGCTGCTGCATCTATGGTCGAAGGTCCCAACCCGCCATCCACCTGCCCACCAAAGCAAAAATGACCAGTCAGAAACCATCCCTCATACAGCCATCTATATGCTGAATTTGAACTGCAACGAGTACACGCTACGTAGCATATACCTCGATGTCAAGAGACGGGTACTTCTGTCTTAACTTCCGTACCTGGATAAGTTAAAATCAGTAATGAGATTCAACAAGAAACGCCAATCAAACAATCCTCAAGGAATATTGAAAAATGTCGAAGTAATGGAACCTTATCCATCGTTTCAGGCATGAACTTTTGGCCACCAAAACCAGGTTCGACTGTCATAACAAGGACCATTTCCACAGGATTTTCACTTTCTACCTGAAAATTGAAAAAAAGAACAAGCATCACTTACCAATTATAGAAAAAATTTAATGAAGCAGCATTTGCACAAAACCATAAGCACTTTGCAGCGCTATATATCAATGAACTATAACATCCTTGTAAATGAAGGATATGAGATTGGGGGAGAAGATGTAAAGATGAATTGCATACCAAAGGATAAACTTCTTCAATGGGTGTTCCGGGTTTTAGAGCAACCCCGGACTTCATGCCCTTTGACTTGATTTCTTGGATTAATTGCTGCCAATTGTCTACCAGAGAAGAGGGAAAGAAAAGTTAAACAATTTTGATGCCATAGAAGTAGAACAAATCTGAAGTTCAAACACAATGTACCTTTGGATACTTCAACATGAAATGTAAAGCCTGAAGCACCAGCTTTTGCGAAGGGTTCAACGTAATCAAGTGGATTTGTAACCATAAGGTGGCAATCAAGATATGCCCTGCAAGACAAGAAATTAATTCCTCATAAACTCAAGTAATGTCATCAAACTCTTAACAGATTGAATTCAAATTCTTCAAACTGAAGAAGCAAAGAGGTTATGTTACTTTGTATGTTTTCTTAAACTCTCGATGACTGGAGCACCAATTGTCAGATTCGGGACAAAGTGCCTGCGGTAAATGCATAAACAAAAAAACTATTACTTTGCTAGAAAAGCAAGCCCAACTTATGTTAATCCAGATGATGCACAAATCACATCACCGTGAAATGATCCACAATCCTGTTACAGAATGAACTCAACCAAATGATAATGGATAGATTTTCACGGGGCCACCATGTCGATGCATTTAAAAGAAAAATCTTTGTGATTTTCTTGATAATAGTTCATTCTGGGTAGGGGCCAACACTTTTTTAGTTTGCAGCCCCAGATTTATTTCCTATTAAAAAGGATGGTAGCAGAAAGAATGTTCTGAAGGTAGACCAATAAACATGGAAAGAAATCAGATATTGTCCTCTTTGGGCTTTCCCTAAGCTACACTCAAGGTTTTAAAACGTGTCTAGGGAGAGGTCTCCACACGCTTATAAGGAATATTTCGTTCTTCTCTCTAACCGATATGAGATCTCACATTTTTTTTACTTTAGAAATAATAAAATCAATAAATAAAACTATATAGTTCTCAAGTTTCTTCAGCAAATATTTATAAATAAGCAGGCATGTGGCTGGAAAGTAGATACTAGAAGCGATCAAAACACCACACAGGTCGAGGTCAAGTTATTTAGAGGGAAATTTAAAACCCATTCACATGAAGCACATTGCAGTTCAACAGGAGTATGATATCAGCAAAGAATGAGCCTACCCATCCTGCAAATAAAGCAACAACAGATATCAGATGTGATGGCAGATAAATTTATCTCAAACTTCGCAAGCATGTCATTGTAAGATCAGTAATTGGATTATGCATCTCCATGCGCCTTTCTGTACACTGTCACCAACCCATTTACAAGAAAGTAAAATCCATTCTTTAAACAGGACTATAACAATTAGTAGCACAGAGAAAATATTGGTGAAGGTAAAAGTCTGCTCGTCCTCCATGGACTACCTTACACTATTACTACAGAAGTACTAAATTAGGGTAGATAGAATTTTATTAAGACCCAGAAAAGCACCGACAAATTATACGATTCAAACAATTAGTCAAGTAGATTATGAACAAATTAAACTACACGAGAGCTATCCGGTGGGAAGTCAGACTAAGAAGGCAAAATCTAGGATCAAATTATTGGGTTATGAAACAGAACCAAATGGGAGCAAGAATCAAAAGGTACTTCGTCCAATTATAACTGTAGAGAAATGGCGATTCAGGAAAACAGAAATAGAGAGCGTGTGGGTACCATAATATCCATGTGAAGCCAATCCGCTCCAAATTTAAGCATTCTTTCGGCCTCCGAAGCTAAATTGGCAAAATCTGAGGATAGCATTGACGGTGCGATTTTCGCAGCTACTCCCATTTTCGTCTGCCTCTTACTCGCTTAGCCGATCAAAAACTCGAGTAATTCAACAGCGATGAATTTGCAGATACAGATTCAATTCTCGAAAATTCCAAGACAAAGAACCCCAAATCCCAACTCAGATGCTTTTTCGTTTTTATAGATTATCTTACCAACCCCTGGCGGCTCGACTGATGAATAAGAAGATCGTCCTCCGTGGGCTCTTTGTGGACCGTCTGAAAGTGGCATCCCTCCTTTTCTACATTTTTTTCGTAAATGGGGGCAAGGAAATTTTACACTGATTATGATTTTGGAAGGAAAAAAAAAAAACAAAACTTCCCTTTCAATTATCCCTTATGAAGTAATTTCAATTTCTTAATTAATTAACGTGAGACTTTTGGTACTTATTTATTTCATCCATCAATAAATAGATTCAAATCTATAAGTTTCCAAATTTCTTTGATACAATAATAACAATGTTTAAAAAAAATGGAGACAACGAAGGTCGAACTACCAAATAAAAACATTTCTATTGGGGGTGGAGTTTTGTGAGGTGTATGATGGCAGACATCAAATCCCAACATCACTACTTATTACTTGAATTTTGTCTAGTTGACTTACATCATTCGTGTGTGTATAATATATATATATAATAGGCATCATGATATTTAGCTAGGTAATCAAAACAATTTTTTGAAAGTTTAGAAGGGTAAACGGACCCGATCTTTTAAATATCGTAATTATTATTCAACCCTTTAAATAAATAAATTTGAATAAATACCATGTTAATTTTATCCAAGCTAATATGGTATAAATGAACAATTTAAAAACCATATTAAGAAATAAAAATTGAGGCACCAAACGTAGGAGGAGCAGATTGATTGGTGGAATAATTGGTTGGCGTAGCCAGCCAGCCACGTGAACCTAACATATACAAAGAGGCAAGAGCAGGAGCCTGAGGTGGCAAATTTTTGTTTTTTTTTTTTTAAGAATAAATAATTATGCGCCCCTCAGAACATGGGAGAATGTGTCATATTTTGTCATTTAATTTGATTTTCTTTCTACATAATTCATAAAGTTTTAAGATATTCAAAAACCGTGCCAAGTCGCGTAATCACAAATAAAATTTATCACACATTTGGCATTATTTGCAAGTTTGGTTTAATATAATTCTCTGATTATTATTCTTACTATCAACTATCTCATATATTTTAAAAATTACTGAATTTTGACGTTCACCATTTAGATAAGAATACTAAAAACATACGTGAAGGAAAGAAAGGACTAAATTAAAAAATAGTGAGAAAGAAAGATGCGTGTGTTTAAATATTTGACATCTAAATCATATACATAATATTATAATTAATGGAGTAGGATTAAATTAACACATTAATTGATATGTAATCATAATTAAACAAATGAAACATTAATAATATTAAAGTAAAATTTAAACTCGGGAAGCGCCACGTCAGAGTTGTTTGAAGTACGTGAAGACAGTATGTTTGACCAGTCAATTAGCGGACACGTTACTCCCATTATTTACTTGTACTTTCCTACGCCTCAGGCCTTGTTTTGGGGGCGTCCCTTCAGTTTTCCCAATCCCCATTTTTTGGTAATTAATATATGTTCAACAAAAATGATATCACTTGGTTACCACATTTTCCTCCCTAATGTATAAATTAAGATATTGAAACTAATTTGATTGTAGATTATAATTGCGTCTCGTATCCCAAGGAAAAATCGCTTTCATTTCTGTTTACTGGGCACTTACAAGCCTCCATTCCATTCAATTCATCCCAATGAGTCTTTTCTTTTTTCTTTTTTAAAAAAGAAGGCAACTCCCCATTCTCATGCCTCTCTCTCTCACTTCCTTCTTCTTCTTCTTCTTCCATTGCTTTTAAGCCAGCACAGATGGGCTCATGTGCTTCCCTTTGCAGTACACCGGAATGCTCCGCCGTGAAGCCTCCGCCGGCGCCGTTGGAGACTGTGACGGACAAGTTTGAGATTCCGCCTTCACCGATCAAACACTACAAGCTCCAGGACAACGCCGATTCTGTCTTCAAGGACATCTCTGTAGTACCCCCTCACCACAAGACGCCTTCTGGTTTGATTCTTCTTCGCTCTTTTCTGGGCTTTGCTTTTCTCTCTGTCTTCTTTCCGCCGCGCCATTCCTCGATTGCCCTGTTTCTTCAATCTGTTCGTTCTTCACAGGCAGCAAAGAAGAAGCCTTCTTTGATTCTCGAGCGTGGTTGGATTCCGATTGTGAAGATTTCTTCAGTGTCAAAGGAGGTGATTTTCATCATCAACTTTTGTATTAAATTTATATATTAATTAAAAGTACTTTTTTAAAAACTATCTTGAGGATGGTTATATATTTTAAAGTTTACTCATTTTAATTTTGAAGTTTGTTCCCTCCCTTATATAAGTTTGAAATACTAAAACTTAAATTTAAACCTTATACAGATTTCACCCCATCCAGAGACAATACTCCTATTCACCACCGCTTCCCGGCGGGAACTCCCCGAGCTAGCCAAGCCGGTGCCGACGACAAACCATCGACATTCAACTCGTCGCCATTACCGACGAAGAGGAGGAAGAAACTGGCTGATCTGTTCCGAGAGAGCCTCGGAGATGAGGCGAGTTTTGCTTTCCTAAATCACAACGACAATCGAAAAACCGATGAGCCTTGCCTTCCGGGAACGGGTTCGGTCCGCAATAGCGAGAGGACCGTCGGCAACGGCGTTGATGACAAAAATATGATCGGATTTGAGTCGAAGTTCTGTTGCCTTCCGCCGCTGGTTTCGCGTAACGGTTCGCGCGAGAGGGAGGAGGAATTGAAGGTTGTTAATGGCGTATCTTGAGCCCTAAATGGGTGGAGAACTCACGAAGAAGGGCAAGAACAGGGGATCGTGGCAGAGGAGAAGTGGGACCTTGAACTTTAAGGTTCGATCTTTATAAATTGAAATAAAATCAGATCCTCTGTGCATGGATAATCATTTGAAGTGCGGAATATAAAATGTGAATATTTATTATTACAATTAAAACTGAAATTGCAATATTGTATTGACGATTTTCATTTGCAAGAAAGAAGAAGATGTTTTAATCTTTGATTCATTCTAATTATCCCATCTAATGGGTCATGGTTTGATTTTCGATTTACTAATTATTCCCGACTTAGATTAATTAAGTTTTGGACTTTTATGATATCAAGATAAGATAAGATGAGTTCATATTTTGTACCAAAAAATGATATCCATAAATTAATAAAGTTGATTTAAACCCAACTCACTTGATGCCACCTTTATTTTTCCTCTAACTTTGCCATTTTATGATGATATGGAATTAGTGAGGCATCATGGAAAGTCTGAAATGACTACACAGCTTATGGTAATTATAAATATTATGTGCTATTTTATTATCATCATTTTCCCTTCTGCTGGAGTGACAAAAACTGCCCAAGTCAAGCCCAATTACGCCCAACCGACAAAGTTCAAGGACGGGTCAAAGGTCAAATTGTGAATCAAAATCGAATAAATGGAGAATCCTTTTGCTTATTGTAAAATTGAATAAATAGAAGCCAAAATTGGTGAAGAAAAGAGGAAAGTATAGAAGCAATGATATGAAGAAATGCAGCAGAAAAGCAGAGGTTGGAATATGTGTGTGGAGAGTATGTGTCTGTTGATGAATCATGAATGAGACAAATCTGAGAGTTCAGTTCCGTTTTTCGTTGCCTTTGATCTTGGCAAGATGAGGGAACGCACTCAGAATGTTGTACGGCCTCAAGTCCTGCCTCGTCAAAATCCCAATTACTGGCGGAGCCTGCAGAGAATGAAACACAGAAATCTGTTTGATTGATTCATGTGTAAAGGAGGAGGAGGAGGAGGAGGAGGAGGAGAAGAAAAGCTTACCCCAGCAGCTTCATACTTGGGCACGATGAGCAAATGGCGGAGCCCCACTTGGCGGAACAGAACCAGAGCTTTGGCCACAGACATGCTCTCCATTACTGTATAAGGCGTAGTGTTGGTAAGAGGATGAAGATCAACGTACATATCCATCTCCTCCTTCTTCACTGCAAGCTCCTCAATCTTCCCTTCCCTCTCCGCCAATTCCACCCATGTAAACTTCTCCCTCACCTCCCATTCCTCTGTTCTTCTCTTCTCTCTCAAGAACCATTTCTTTTTCAGCACCTGCAGCAAATGCGCTCTCAGCACTAGCCCGTGCAGCTCCGTCGCCCCCACTGCCATCCCCACTGGCGGCACCACTGCGTCCGAGTCCACAACAGGGAACCCGTTATGCGTCGTGTTCTTAAGAACCTCCACAATGCGGGACACTTTCTCCAATCCCCGCAGCGTCACCACCGCCGGCTTTGCGTCAGCCAGTTCGCCCACCGTGATGTTCCTCATCCACGTCTCCGGATTCGCGTCCAAGAACGGAAGCCCCTTCAGATGTAGAATGATGTCATAAATACTAGGGTTAAAACAGTCCCCGACGGTTTTTCCAATCAGAAGGACAATCATCGTAATCGGAAGTAGAAGGAGATTGTTGGTGAGCTCGAGGAATATAACGCAGAGGGAAACGGTCATCCGCATGGAGCCGGCCATTAAGGAGGCAGCACCGAGAACAGCCAAAAGTCCCTGATCAAGATCGGAGTAGGGCCGCATGAGGAGGCCGATGAGACGGCCATAGCCAGAGCCCATCAAAATGATCGGAAGGAAGAGACCGGAGGGGACGGCGATGCCGAAAGTGATAAGCCCTAAGACGCAGTAGAGGAGGAAGAAGATGACGAGGGAAAGGGGCTGGTACTCGGTGGAAGTGTTGGTGGAGAAGATGTTTCGAACGGCGTCGTCGTTGGTGGCGAGGAGAAGGGTGGCGAGGTCGTTGTAATGGCCTTTAGGACAGTTGAATTGCTTGAAGTTGCCGGAGCGGCCATTGGTGGGGCAGGCGGAACCTGGAAAAGAAGGGTTGCAAGGGGTGCATTGGCCAAGGTATGGCAGACTGTATTGGCAGATTGAAGTGAAGAGTGATACTCCTAGGCTCAGTAACAGTTTGTGCATTTTTCCCTTCCTGCAAATACCATTTCACCATTGCAGTTCTTATCAGATCATTCTTCAAATTTGATCCAATAATATGGAAAGGGAGTGAGAGTGAAATTGCTTACTGATTGATGAGGTTGTAAACTCTGAGGATTTTGTGCAGAAGATGATTGTAAAGGCTTCCAAGGAACCCACCAAGAAGGCCAATGATAGCAACTGGTATGATATCCATGATATGGTAGCTAACAGAAACACTACTGACATCAAACATAATAAGCCCTCCTTCTCCGAACAGCCCACACTCACCTGCCTTGCATATTTCAATGAAAGTTCTCAGCACCACCACAACAATGGCTGTGCTGAAAAAGGTCCTCCACAGCAGGGCACTCCTCCACCATGTAGCCACCTCTTCTAGGGCAAATAGAACACCCCCGACCGGGGCTCGGAAAGCTGCACAAACCCCTGATGACGCTCCGCATGTGATAAGATCCCGACGATCACGATCGTTGTTGAAATAGCGTAGCCATGTCCATTTGACTCGATAGTTATCCGGACCGCCCTGTCCAAGTAAAGAAGCAATGCAGCTGCCAATGTGTACTAGAGGCCCTTCTTTCCCAAGATCTAGCCCTGCTGCCACTGCTCCAATGCTCCCAATAATCTGCAGAGATCAAAGTTTATAATGCCACTCCGTAAAGATATCAAAGATCAAATACATCTCCTTTTGCTTTCATTCCTATAAAGGAGTAATTTCATCATCAGTTTCAGTTTATCAGATTATCTACATGTTCTGTGTGATCCGCAAGATCAGTCTGATTCTTTTGTGGATTGCTCAATGATTGACATTGATATTCATGGCATTACAAGAAAGTGCAGGGCACACGCACCTTAACGATCAACGTGGTGGCGCCGAACATATTAGGAGTATCTATGCCATTGAGATAGGCTTTGATTTCTGGTATGCCAGGCCCAGCGGCGGTGGGAGCAAAGCATACACAGAGAACAGCAGCAACAAAAGTGAGAAGGAAATTTGCAGTGGTAAAGTAGGCGAATCCCATTAGGTACCTAAATCCAAATCATTTGAAACCCAGAATTTTTGAACTGATGAAGTTTGTGTGTTTTGCAGAGGAAGAAAACCAGGTGTGTAATCGGCATGAATGAACATACCTTTCTTCTTTGATGTAACCGACCACTTTCAAAAGCTTGTAGCCAGCAATATTTTCAATGGCGAGATTGATGAGAGTGGCAATGATCCCTGTAAGAAGTCCAACAAGACAAGCCAATGTCCATTTGGAGAATATGTACTGCAACACTTGAACTTTGGATCTGCTTCTCCAATCGTGCTTAAACAGATCGTTCTCATTGATCCTGAATTCAAACCAAACCAAATAACCAAAAATTGAAGGAACTCAAGGAGAAATCAAAGCTTTCAATGCTATGGTCTTACTCGTAATCCAAGCTTTCAATCAGAGAAACCTTGGCCCCAACAATGGCAAGAGGACTAGAAGAGAGAGTTCTGCTTCTCTTGAGAAGGGGTTCGTTCAAGGGATTGCTTTCTGGGTCTCTTTCTTCTTGTTGAGGCTCTGCTTCCATGGCGTCTGTGAGAGTTGATTCCGCGACAAGGCTGGAATTTTCCTCCATTGGAGCAGTGAAAAGAACACAAAAATGGGGTAGATGAGGGTTATGAACAGAAGATGAAGTTTAGGGATTGGAAGAAAGTGCAAAGCTTCCCCTGTGTTGTAGGATTTTAATGCAACAAAGTTATCGCAATCATGTTCTCGTCTTGTCACTTTCTTTATGGTCATTTGAATGAACAGTTCTTATTTCTCCCATCATCTTTACCCTTTTTTCTTTTCATGTTCTTGGTTTCTTCATAGTTTTCAACTACCCAACTTGTCACTCACTCATTTTTTTGATCATTGTGACACCTTTATTTCACCAAATATCCCATTTTTATATCAAAAATACATTTATTCCCTGTCTTTATATTGACCTTATTCTTCATTGTTTTTAATAGAACTAGCTTCTCACTCAAACTCAACTTGCTTGTTTGGCTTCCCTTGTTTCACCATCTACACTACGCAAATAGGTCACTTACCAAAAATTTATCCAATTTTAAATATTTTTTATTAACTTTTATCAATATCAAATATAAAAATATGAAGATAAGAACCCAATAATATATGATAATCAATTGATTGGCTACTGATTAGCAACTACGAAAGTGAAATATATGTTTATTCAAAAGCTAAGTTTTTTTTGGCTGAAAATTCGGCTCTATCCATAAAAGAGGTCCACTAGTCTTAACATGTATATCCACATGTGACATGTGCCAATCCAATTATATTCACAAATAATTTAAAAATACTAAAAATAAATTATTAAGTTACACGTCTCTTCTAAACTTGATGTGACACTCATAGACTTTAAATATTATCTACCACAATACATTACCCTTAAACCCTTAAACGAAAAATGAGGTCCTTATTATTAATTTATGCCATGATGCCATTTAAATTAAACTAAACAAGATTCATATCTGTCACTTTTGTAAATATCGTTGCTGATTCCTCACGGTTGAGTGGCAAGTTGGATGTATGAGTTGGGGATGAGCATAAATTGGTAATCCAATTGCGTTGACACACGTGGTGCGTTGTAGACCGATGGATGAAGAAGAATGGAGGGTGGATCATAAATGGCTCTTCGGGGATGGAAGAGGCGGTGGAGCTATTTGGTAATAAATTTGTGATTTCAATATCTACGGCCAACAACTTTATAGCTTTGTTTTTTAATGGAAAAGAAAAGAAAATAAAACAATTGCTTCATATGTCATGTCCTGTCCAAGTGGACCAAATAAAATGAGGGAAAATTACTTGAGGTATCATTATTATGAAAATAATAATATTTGTTTTTAACTTAATTTATTTTATTACTTAGACCCTAAACTAAGATATCGTAAACTGATACCAACAGAAAACAGACAAAAAAACACATACATTTTTATAAAAAGAAAAAAGAGAAAATAATTAATAATTTCACGTACCAAGATGCGTATTATAAGGACTGAGGAAAATTAATGAAGGGACAGATGGCAAAAGGCTATAGGCGGAATCCACGTAGGTCATGGATAAATCTCAATTATTAGGACTTTATTAGAGAATGGAATGGATGCCCTTCCGGCGTTCGGTTTCCACATCTTTCCTTCTCCACCCAATTTTAATATTTAATTGGATAGGGAAAAATACACATTGGTTTTGTTTAATGAATAAATAAATGGTGTCCATGATTTACGGAATAACAGATTTAAAAGAAGAAAAATTCCACAGTCAATGGAGCACGCACATAAAACGGTGCGTTTAGGAGAATACAGAACCATAAAGCATTTCTTTAATTTCTGTTCTTTGTTTCTTTCTATATACTGGACCGACCAACTCGAAGTTGAACCCTATGCCATGAGGTGTTGAGTATACCTCTTAGGTTCCATATCTCCTCCACTCTTTCTGGCTGCACGTTTGCTGCTGAATCAACCTGCGTTATCCAATTCAAACTCAAACCTTTGCGCACACATTTCTAAACAAGCTCATCTTTTCAATCAAACACATTTCTGTGCATCAACATCCCACACTTACAGCTTTTGCAACAATTTCCGTGTCTTGTTCCACATCGAGCGTCACCTCGAAAAGCACCCATGCCCACTTGTCACTGCTCCGACTATCTGCAACATATGGGACGCCAGTCTTCTGATATCTGGTGGCTTCAATCCAGCTTTTGCCTCCATCAACAGATATATCTACTCTCTCTATTCCCCGCCCACCGCCCGACACTGCATAACCACTAACCGTAACCTGACATGCGTTTGAAGATCACAATTATATTTGTTTGTTTAACTACTTATCTAGAGGTTAATGCATATACTATCGTCCAAGAAGTTAGAAATTTGAATTCCAACGTACCCACGAACACAAAAGGAAAGACTATCAACACTATAACAGCAGGAAAGAAATATGATGCAAAAGAGATGAAAGCTAGATTATAATATTATGCAGTAGAACAATATTCTCCAGGTTTTTCTGATTGACATGTCCCAGAACTTACAAATTTGCCGGGATGAACATATGCAATAGGAAGTTCTTTGCATGAAGTAACATCTGTATGTTATCTTCACTAAATTGAACTTGCGTACATAAGTGGACTAACCTTTCCGGGCTTTATATGATCTACATCCTCCAAAGAACACATCACAGACTGCAATTCAGCAAGTTCAACCGCATTAGTCGGGTGAAATGGGACAAAGTCAACAGAGAATCGCCAACCCAAAAACAGTGGATATTCAAAATAAACGATGAGCGAGAACTTTTTTTCTTTTGAGATCTCACATTAGTTGGAGAGGAGAACGAATCATTTCTTATAAGGGTGTGGAAACCTCTCCTTCGTGACGCGTTTTAAAACCTAAAAGGGAAAAACCAAAGAGGATAATATATGTTATCGGTGGGCTTAGGCTGTTACAAATGGTATCAGAGCCAAACACGGGGCAGTGTGCTAACGAGGACGATCGGCCCCCCAAGAGGGGTGGATTGTGAGATCCCACATTGATTGGAGAGGGGAACGAAGCATTGTTTATAAAGGTGTGAAAATTTATCCCTAGCCCCCAAGGGCCCCAAGGAGGATGGATGGTGTGATTTCACATTAGTTGGAGAGGGGAACGAAGCATTCCTTATAAGAGTGAAAACTTCTCCCTAGCTCCTGAGGGGGTGGATTGGAAGCATTCCTTCTAAGGGTGTGAAAACTTCTCCCTAACTCCCAAGGGGGTGGATTGTGAGATCCCACATTGGTTAGAGAGGTGAACGAAACATTCTTTAGAAGAGTGTGAAAACTTCTCCCTAGTAGACGCATTTTAAAACCTTATGGGAAAGCCGGAAAAGAAAAGCCCAAAGAGGACAATATATGCTAGCAGTTAGCGGTGGGCTTGGACTGTTACATTTCTAAGGTTCATCAGCAAGGCAAAAACCAAAGAAAAAAGTACAATCAAGCAAAAAGCAGGAGCCTTCGACAAAAACCTGAACAGGGAAATCCATTTGAGGCCTCCTAGTCGTCCAATCAATATTATCCCAATTTACGGAAGGAGGAAACATTTTGTAGTCTTTCTGCATAAAGAAACCCTGCAAAGCAATGCCATGAACTCCATTATGAAGGAAGGCAATTTCTTGAGTGAAAAAAATCAAACACATTTCCTACCTGGCTTTCCTCTGCAATTATGCTAATAGATTCAAGCCATTTAACAGAACGAGCACCAATAACACCAGGGATAACCACACGCAACGGATACCCATGATCTCGATTAAGAGGCTTTCGTGAAAAAGTAAAAGATAGTAAGTATAGTATGGTCAAACAATAAGCAACGTAACAGCAATACATTGAGGAGTTTAAGCACCAAAACTTACTTCTCCATTCATTTCATAAGCAAGGAGAACATCTGCTTCAGGATTTGAAGCGTGGCTCAGTGGAATTGATGCCTTGTATGGACCTCCCTTTTCTTCCTGTACTTAATAATCATAGCAACCAAAATCATTCCATTCTATCTACACATAATTCCTTCCAACTAAAGCAAAATCAACAACATTATTAACATCTTCATCAATGGCATGTCCTCTTTTTATCTCATGTTCTTTGGAAAAGAACATCTAAATAGGACAACGTTGTACCTTGCATCTATCAATGCTCACAAACTCAACATGTTTTCCACCTTTTTGTGTACTATAGCTGAGCTTCGGTATTCCAACAAGTTCAAGAACATCAGCCAATTTAGCACCACCCCACACAGCTGTAAGGTTCAAAACAACTTTTTCAGAAAGATGAACTTTACAAGCTAACACATCTAAAACACTAGCGGATTCATGTCGCATACCATTTCCTAAAGCTGAAACATCCCAGCCAACTCCCTTCACTGTTCTGGTTTTGCTCATCGCGGTCCTTCGATTACCTGCACACTATGTCCACGCATGCCAAATGGTGTCGATTATAATCAAGCAAAGCGCTATGGAAACTACTCTTAAACCTCGTAGTTTCGATTTAGATATTCCAACATCAGGCAAAGAAGAAATACTAGCAACTTATGCCTATTTATGAGAATACCTGTAAAGTGGCAGTGACATTGTACTTTGGAAGCATCCTGTAAAATGATAACAATCTTAGGTTCTCTTTGAAACATGTTAATGCACACAGTTAAACTATGTTTGAATTTGCATGAAGAAAAGGAAATGCTCTTTAAATCCAAAATTCCACAGCTCACCTGATATCTTTCATGAACAGCTCCTTTGGGTTTTCTATTAGGCCATTTAAAGAAACAGAATATCTACAAAGAAAACGAAAGTGAACAGATATAAGAACAGTTGCAGAAAAGAAAAAAGGGAGAGAAAGGGAAACCTTTCAATATCATCCACTAATGGAACAGGGCCATGATTTCTCTTGTAAAAGAAGTCTACGGGGGTCACATAAGACGAGATCAGGGCGGAGCGCGGTGGCTCTGCATTGAAGGGCTCCTGAGGCAGAGATGTCAGGGAGAGAAAATCAGCACAAATATTCATAACAAATTTTACCAAAACGAAATGAATGAAACCCAAATAATGAAATTGCGAAGAACCCCAGAGTAAATCAAATAATTTCAGACTACAACAAAACGATTGCGATTCCGGGAACAAAAGAAAATTCCCATAGAGATGGAAGAAGGAAGAAGCTTACCTTGGCGTTGATTCGGAGACATGGGTGACGAAGTGGCTCTTGCGAGTAATCTGAGGGTGCAGTTAATCCAGGCATCTTCTCACTCCTTTAGAAGCAGAAAAGATATTCAGCGATGTGTGGGAGAATGGCAGTTCTCAGAAGATGGCAATCAATTTCGCGAAGATGACTAGATGTCGCAACGAGTGCTCGTAAAATTAACCGACAACGATAAAATTCTACGTGGACACTCTTTGGAGTTTGATGATCCTGAGTTGTCGCTTTTGCCAAAACTGTGTGGCTTTGGGTATGTTCTCGATCCTTTTAGCACACTGTTTCATTATTTTATTTTATTTTTTTATAATTATGTTGGGTCAATCCGGTTTTTAACTCCTTGGTTAGAGATGAGAAAAGATTGAAACTTTAACATGAATGAAAACCTTTTCTTATGTATATTCCAAAACTTTAAAACTCGTTACAATAATATGGGAAACTAAGAATTAAATAGATCGGGGTGAAGTAATATACAAAAATTTAATGACTAAGAAGTTGAGTCTGGAACAGCAGAATCAACAGAATCAAGTAACTTAAATTTAAGGATCTTATGTACAGAAGCAACGGGCTTCAGATCCTTTCTAGGAGCTTGATGTGGTTCGACTGCTTTTTCCGAGCGACGATTTGTTTTAGATGGCACAGCTTCTTCTTCAACCATAGAGACTTCCTCTACAATAGGGAACACAGACTTTTCAGTGTAAACAGAACATATCCCAACATTTTTTAATCTTCAAAGATCAAATACAAAACTTGCTTTAAGGTTCAGGAATCAAATGGTTTCATTTCCTTTAAAATTTACTCACCTTCCGCAAAGGTAAGACATGTACCTATGGTTTCTTCATATTCTCCAATCTACAAAAGAGAGAGACAATAATGGCAGGAGATTATACATTATGGTTCTGCTGCAGTGCTTCTAGGTGTAGAGATTGTATCTTTTATTAACAACTCACCATCTTAATTTTGTCGCAGATAGTTAAGATTGGATTCATAGTGTCCAAACCCTGCAAAACAAATTAATCAAAATTCACATAAACCATACAGATTAGCTCGCAGAGAAATATTCAGTACTTGAAATTAGAGTGGATCAGAAAGATTCATACAGATAGAACATATGGGGCATTGGGTGGGATGTCAAGCAGCGATACATCCCCCAGGTCAATCAATACATATTCTTCCTCGCCATCAGAGGCAGAATCAATTGCAGCTTTCTCCATGTTCCTTACAGATACCTCTGAAAAACTAAATTGAAATCGTTAGCGGCTTAGTGATGCTAGTAATATCAAGTAAAGCTTTTGGCCAACCCCTGTTTTCCTTCCAAATAAGTGTGGAGTGCAAAGGATAAAACAAAACCCTAAGGAAGTTTTTTTTTTTTTTTTTTTTTTTTTTTTTTTTTTTTTTTTTTTTTTTTTTTTTTTTTTTTTTTTTTTTTTTTTTTTTTTTTTTTTTTTTTTTTTTTTTTTTTTTTTTTAATCCCGCTTGGATGTGGACTTACAAAAAACATGTTTCCAATTATACTCAATAAGAGATTTTCTACTTTAATTTTATAATTTACGCCTTCAAAGAAACTCAACAGCATTCAATAAAATAAAAAAAATAAAAAATAAAAAACAAAGTAGACCCAACTTTATAAGCTCAAATCTCTAATGTAAGTAGAACTCGTTCTAAACGTACCAATGCCGAGAACAGTAAGAAGCTTGAACAGAGCAAGGACGGCACACAAAATCAGCAAAGGGAAGTTTATTACCCGAAGGAAATACAGGCCTTCGTTTACTGGAATTCCAATCGAATCTGTTCCTCGGGGATGTGGATGGCTTCGCTGTGGAATTTGAACTCCGTTCCAGTGAAATAGCAGACGCAAAGGATCTTTCCAGTATTGTCGTAAACCGCGTCTATTTGATCGAGAGAGAGAGAGTGGAAATTGATTCTAGGGCTTCTCGTTTTTGAAGTCGATGAAGATTTCTGGGATATAGAGAAGCTTACGGAGAAAATCCCGAAGGGAGGAGAGGAAGAGGGAAATAGTGCAAGAGCTGGAGTTTTAAGGTTGCCTCGCTCTTTAAATTTTGGGCCGGCCGGACCGGGCCGGACCAGTCCTATGAAAGACACTTTTTTTTACAAAAATAAATAGAAAATTCGTAGATGGTTGGTTGGCTCGTGTGTGCTCCTGCTTGCCACGTCTCTGCCCCGTGGCTTTGGTTTTATAGATGATTTGTCACGTCAGGACCCAAAATTTTCATATTTATTATTTTTAAAAAAATAAAAATATATAGATATATATATATGTTAATTTTTGTAATCATAAATTTTTTAAAAAGGGAATAATAAGTGTTTTAAAATGAGTTATTGGTTGAAACGGCGCCAATTTAATGTAAAAAAATATTTATTTTAAATTCCACCCGAATCGTATCATGAAATCTTCCACAATCCCCAAATTGCCCTTCCTTCTCATTCACTCTCTTCTTCCGCAAGCTTCCTGCAAAATTTCAAAATCTCCCGCTCCAATTTCTTTTTGGATTTACGAACTTCTCTTTAATCTTCCTTCCCCTCCCTCTCGCTTATATATAATCTCATCCATTAGTAGTCCAATCCACCCATCAATTTTCCCAATCATCTCTTTCAATCCTTCCATCAAACATTTGTAACCATGCCTGCAATTTCAGAGGAGCCGTTGCTCGCCCCTAACCCCGATAGATTCTGTATGTTCCCCATTCAATATCCTCAGATTTGGGAAATGTATAAGAAAGCCGTCGCCTCCTTCTGGACCGCCGAGGAGGTTGATCTTTCTCAGGATCTTCGCCATTGGGAAGCTCTCACCGCCGATGAGAAGCATTTCATCAAACATGTTCTGGCCTTCTTTGCCGCTTCCGATGGCATTGTTCTGGAGAATCTCGCCGGCCGGTTCATGAAGGAGGTTCAGGTCGCGGAGGCGAGAGCGTTCTACGGCTTCCAAATAGCAATTGAGAATATTCACTCCGAGATGTACAGTTTGTTGCTCGAAACCTACATCAAGGACTCTGTCGAGAAGAACAGGTTGTTCCATGCCATGGAGACTGTACCTTGCATCACGAAGAAGGCCGAGTGGGCGCTCAATTGGATCGACGGATCCAAGTCCTTTGCAGAGCGGTTGATAGCATTCGCCTGCGTGGAAGGCATCTTCTTCTCCGGAAGTTTCTGCGCTATATTCTGGTTGAAGAAACGCGGGCTGATGCCTGGATTGACATTTTCGAACGAATTGATATCTCGAGACGAAGGCCTGCACTGCGATTTCGCGTGCTTGTTATACTCGCTGATGAGGAAGAAGCTGAGCGAGGAGAAAGTGCAGGGGATCGTCCGGGAGGCAGTGGATATTGAGAGGGAATTCGTTTGTGAGGCATTGCCGTGCGCGCTGGTGGGGATGAATGGCGATCTGATGAGTGAATACATCGAGTTCGTGGCAGATCGGCTGCTGGTAGCCCTAGGGCACAGCAAGATTTACAATGTGCAGAACCCGTTCGATTGGATGGAACTGATATCGCTGCAGGGGAAAACAAACTTCTTCGAGAAGAGGGTGGGAGATTATCAGAAGGCATCTGTGATGTCGAGCTTGGATGGGATCGGAGGGATACATGAGTTCAAGATGGATGAGGATTTTTAGAAGATACGATACCCTTCTCTCTATAACACCCACTCTGTATTTATTTCTTACTTCTGTTTCTGCAAATTTCATGTTTGATAATGATAGTGCCTGTCGTTTCTTCATTCCTAAGAAGCTTGCACCTTTAGGGAATCATGTATTTTAAATTATTCACAAGAAATAGAAGCACTTTAGCATTTCATTACTCTCCTAATACTCATTCATCTCATTCCTTCATTTATTTTTAATTTCTAAAGAAGTTTCAAAATTTAGATTCGACACTTGATCGCTCTGACATTCACCTGTATTTTATGAGACACTATTGTGTTACTTACTCATTGCTTCTGAGAATAAAAGACTATCCTCACCCCTTGCGATATGAATAAGTTACTCCTTACTTTTAAAAGTGAAAACTCCTTCCACTCTCTGCGATAGTAACAAGTTATTTGAGTCTTTTAAACTAATAGAGCCTATTCAACGTATAGTTCTTATAATTGAGTCACAAGTTATTTGAGTCTTTTAAACTAATAGAGCCTATTCAACCTATAGTTCTTATAATTGAGTCACCTAAAAACTCCGGACTTCGAACCTCTTAACCGGTAAAAAAGCATTGGAAGTTACATTCTGAAATATTTTCAAAATGGACTATTGAGTGTTTCAGAATATCTAGGGGCAAGAAGTAGAACAAGAGCGACTATTGGTAATTGCGAATAATAATGAAACACGTTCCTGTGAGGAATGTGGCAAATTATATGTGCACAACCAAAGAAGTGAAGCTAGAGAAGCAGACCTTCTTCCTGCAAGATCATCAGGGCTTTTAAACAAGCAGTGATTGAAGTGCTGCCTATAGAAATCAGCAAACTGGATTGGTTTCTGTAGCATCAGTGGAAGCTAATACTAATTGGGGTTGAGAAATAGAGCCTTCCTTTCTTGCTTTCTTGCGCTCTCTTTGCAGCCTGAAATACTCCCTCTTCCTTGCTCTGTAGCTGTTTGGATTCTCAGGCTGTACTTCTCTTGGGTACACACTCACCTGCAATCAAATACATACATCTCAGTTTTTTGTTCATTCTTACAAGCTCGCTTGAAAGGTCCAGATTCGAAGTGAAACCTTCTTCTTGTCAGGTCCATACTTCTCGAATTTTACAAGCCCGTCGATCAATGAGAAAATTGTATGGTCCTTGCCAAGCCCCACATTCTTTCCTGCATGGAACTGAATTCATTTGTACAAAAACAGACACCATGGAACTCAATTAAAAAACAATCGATGTATGTTCGTAAATTAGGAATGCCCTAAACAATGGGCGGAACGAGCACCAACTTCTCAACATATAATTTTCAAAATCGAATTGGAAAATGATTTGGGACTGAGAAACTACCTTGGTTCCACGCTGACGAACGATGATAGAACCAGGCTTGGCAACCTGATCGCCGTAGATTTTAACGCCGAGCCTCTGGCCCTTAGAATCTCGGCCGTTCTTCGTGCTTCCAGCTCCTTTCTTGTGTGCATTTTCAATGGTTAAAGGGAATCTGTTAGGGAACGAGACGGAGAGCTTGGGAGGCAGTTGAATAGATCCGAAATCGCCTTTGAAGAAAGAGGAAGAAGAAGAAGAGGCCAGAGAGAGGCCTCTGAATGCCCCAATTAGGTTTAAACTCATGGCTGCAACAGGGATTTCCTCGGCTCCCGAAGATTGGAACTGTGAAGCGAATACAAAAAGTCGACAGAATTAGTCGATCGAGAAAAAGAAATGGACATGGAGGGGAAGAGACAGAGAGGGAGCGAACGCGAACCTTATCCTTAGAACCACAACCACAACCACAACCAGAACCGCTCCAAGCCACCGAATGGGAATCTTGGGCCGGCTGGGTTCGCTTGTATGCACTTGTATTCACTTAGTGGTTCTGTGCCACCACAATGGCTACCGAAACCTGTCTCTGACTGGCACGTGAGCAGTTTCCGAGTTGGCACAACTTAGCGTCAAAAGTAGGTATTTTTATTGCTCCATCAACCTTTTCTACGTCTCTTGAGATCATTTAAGCTTTTTGTTTTGTTATATGTTTAAGAACTTTCATTAATTCCAAATAATGATAAAAAAAAAAATACATATTGAAATTAAATATTATAGAATATGAAACTACGTCCACTAAAAAAAAATCATCTCGCAAAACTACATGCGCACACATACATACGTGTGTACATATAAATACACGAATAATATTTTAATTGTTAGTTGGATTATGGGTATTATTTTATTTAAAATTAAAATCTTTGGCTTAAATGAAAGTCAATGAAATCTCCAAATCATCTAACATGGAAGGAACTAAGTCATGAACAAGTTAGTTCATAATTAGTCATCCTTCTTGTGTCAGTTCTCTTATGTAAAAATGTGAGATGGAGAGGCGAATGAATCATTATTTACATAAATGTGAAATCCAGTGTTTGGTGGACACTTTTTAAAGCCTTGAAGAAAAATCAGAATGAAAAACTCAAAACGATCGATATTTGCTAACAGTAACCGGGCAAAGCGGACAATATTTGCTAGTGTATAAGAGAGAAACATGGTAGGAGAAGGGTTCCAGTTAAATTCCCATTAAATATGTGAAAAATGTATTAAACATTTAAAAAGGATGGTAATCAGTTAGGAAGGAGTCTGATTTGATAATATCCGGAGTTTTGAAATTTTCTTATCCCAAGTTGATGGTAATAAATTGCATTTCTTACCACTTCCAACATTTGACTTTAAGTTGAGAAAACAATGGTTTCACGCGCACGGAAGTAGAATATTATAAGTGTCATTTTCATGCATTCTTGCAAGAAACCCGAATTACCCAAACTAAACCCTAAACAAATTATGTAGAATAATAGTCATGTGGATTGACCCCAACAACTCAATCGTCACCACCTTGTTTAGTCTCTCTTTTCAAAAATGTTAGCTTGACCAAGTTCATGCACCCCATCCTCCTCTTCCACACCTTATATATGCTGAAGATATGCCGGATCTTCGTAGAAGTTACAGAAAGCAAGTAGGCGCCCATGGCCATGGGAGCTTTATGGAGGGCTTTGGTTCTGGCTGTGGTTCTTGTGGCGGCTACTGTGGAGAGAACAGACGCACAATTAGTAGAGAATTTCTACGCCTCCACTTGTCCAAACGTGGAGCGAATCGTTACACAAGCTGTTCAAAACAAGTTTGATCAAACGTTCGTCACCGTCCCTGCAACTTTGCGACTCTTCTTCCATGATTGCTTCGTTGAGGTGTTCTTCTAATCTTATCATCCCCTAAATTAGTTAACATGAGACTCCCTCCAAACAATTCTCACCAACTTGATCCCTGCTTCATATTTATAAAGTTTATCATTGGTGGTAGAAGCTTATTTGTTTACTAATGAGTATAGGGGTGTGATGCTTCGGTGTTGATAGCATCTCCAAATGGGGATGCCGAGAAAGACGCTCAAGACAATATTTCATTAGCTGGAGATGGATTTGACACGGTTATTAAAGCTAAACAAGCAGTTGAAAGTGCTTGTCCCGGTGTTGTCTCTTGTGCTGACGTTTTGGCTCTTGCAACTAGAGATGTCGTTAATTTGGTAGGATTTTTTAAATGAATGGATGAAAAAATATTTTAAAAGAAAATTCATGACATTGGACTAAAAATTATGAATTATAATTTTAAAATCATTGATTTATTGTCCTCGTGTTTCAGGCAGGGGGCCCACTGTACAGCGTGGAACTAGGACGTCGAGATGGGCTAATTTCCCGAGCATCCCGAGTGGCCGGAAACTTACCGGAACCATTCTTCAATCTGGACCAACTGGTCAACATGTTCGCCGCCCACAACCTGACCCTCATCGACATGATCGCACTCTCCGGAGCCCACACCTTGGGCTTCTCCCACTGCGACCGTTTCTCCAACCGTCTCTACTCCTTTTCCCCTTCGTCTCCGGTGGACCCGTCGTTGGACCCCGGCTACGCGCAGCAGCTAATGGATGCGTGTCCGCGGAACGTGGATCCCAGCATAGCCATAGACATGGATCCTATAACCCCTCGGACCTTCGACAACGTTTACTACCAGAACCTTATCGCCGGCAAGGGCCTCTTCACTGCCGACCAGATTCTGTTCACGGAGTCCGAATCCCAGCCGACAGTCCGCAGCTTCGCCACCAACGGGGCTGAGTTTAATGCGGCGTTTATCAACGCCATGACCAAGATGGGTCGGATTGGAGTTAAGACTGGTGATGATGGTGAAATTCGAATGGATTGCAGTGCCTTTAATTCCTAATTTTTGTTGCTCATCATGTGATGAACTCGAAAGATAAGTTATGGTCATGTAACAAGTTATTTCCTATTCTGTTCGGTCTTTTTGTATGAAAATTTGTTGGTATAAAAAATAAACAACATATAATGATTAAAAGAAACATAACTATTGTGTCTGTCAAGAACATGTAGCAAAGCTCAAACCTCCTTGGTCGAATAAATGCATAGCATATTTTGTATTTACTGATGAATATTGGTGAAATCTAGTTTACACAAAGCGTGGATGAACGAGATTTTCCATAGAGGTTGTAGTAAACACCCCTGGTTCGGTGAACCAAAACCAAACTTAAGATGCCTGCAATGGCGCAGAAAACAGCCATTATGATACAAGTTAGAGAGAAACATATGGTGCCCACGCACTTGAGCGGTCCAGCGGAGCTCTGCAGCTGTGAGAGATGATTGAGAGCTTGCTTCTCTGCTTCCTTATCATAGATGCTGCTCGTGATTAACCCAGAAAATATCAAAGATCCCATGGGAGTAGAGAGAGTGATGAAATTGTATAAAGCAGCAAACTTTTTCAACCCAAACAATTCAGAGGCAGTAGCAGGCACAATTGCCCAGTGAGCCCCGTACCCGAGCCCTGTTATGAGAGTTCCAATGTACATTGCTCCAGGCCATCCCATTCCGATGAAGAGATGTCCAAATATCATAAGGATTTGCGCAATCACCATTGCAATGGGTCTTGGATAAGCATAATCTCTGTTGAAGAGAATGATAGTAAGATATAATATAATCATATTTTATGCTGTAACGGTCCAAGCTCAAGTCCACTGTTGTCAAATAGCGTCTTTTTTAGACTTTTACTTTTGAATTTCTTCTCAAGGTTTTAAAACGCGTCAGCAAGGAGAAGTTTTCATGCCTTTATAAGGAATGCATCTTTAAAACGCGTCTGCTTGGGAGAGGTTTCCACACCGTTATAAGAAATGTTTCGTTTCCCTCTCCAATCGAAGTGGGATCTCACAATCCTCCCTCTTTGAGGGTTCAGCGGTCTCGCTGGCACATCGCTCACTCAGTGTCTGACTCTTATACTATTTGCAATAGCCCAAGTCCACTGCTAATGCTAATAGATATTATCTCTTTGGGCTTTTCCTTTCAGGGTTCCCCTCGAGGTTTTAAAACGTGTCTACTATGAAGAGGATCTAGCCCTACTCCAACCAGTGTCTCGTACCATCCGGTAACTGGCTTTGATACTATTTGCAAGGGAGAAGTTTCCTCACGGCTATAAAAAATACTTCGTTTTCGTTTCCCTTCCCAATTGGTGTGGGATCTCACCTTGAGACAACTAAAATAAATTTGGTACCTCACAGCAATCTCAGAGAGGTAGCCACCACCAACACGGCCGAGGAAGTTCCATATGCTGATGAGGGACACAAAAATATGTGTATTATCATAGCCTAAGGACTCGCTCATCTGTCCGAGGTTATCGATCACGGTCAATCCAGTTCCAGAACCAAGGAGATGGGAGAGAAATATAAGCCAAAAGTCTGCTTTGATTAAAGCTTGACCCAAAGTGAAATCTTCCCCTCTACGTGGACCCTTCCTCCTCTGCACTCTTACTGCTCCTTCTGCAGCTGCTTGCAATAGTTTTGCTTGCAACTGAGCAATGCGTTTTTGTCTCTCTGATGCAGGAACTGAGTCCTCTACCTCTGATTTTTCATCTTCCACCTCACTTAATATCACTTCATTACCATCTGCTTCAGATGTAGCAGGTTCCTGTCTGTGTAACGGTTGTAGGAGAGCCTCTTGCCCAGCATATGTTGTCGTCTCTGAGCTCAAAGTCGACGCCACCGGAATCAAAAAGGGAATAAGAAGGATGACAAACATAACAGCAGTGAAAATGGCTATCACAGTGGAGCTCAAGGTAACAAGATCCTCAACAAGCATGACTCCCATCAAATATGCAGCCAAGAGGAGGCAGACGCCATAAACAGTAGTAAAGCTCATGGTGTCAGACCGCCGCACTTGCCTATGGCCGGCAACAGGTTTGATAAAAAACATCAAGCCAATAGCCACCAGTGCAGGACCTACTGCAATCATGAATATAAGATCGGCTGAATCAGGAGAATGCATGATTGCATATATCTGAGTCAAGATTGCACCGCTTAAACCAGCAAAGCCTTTCAAAATCCCAACCACAGGACCCCTGCTTTTTGGAAAGTTTTGTACGCAAGAAACCAGAGAAACTGTATTGAAGTAAGTCTCCCCATTCGTTCCCACAAATACAAGAACGCACATCTGCACAATCATATTCATACATGACTAGACAAAACTGGCAAAACAGGGGGAATAGCTTAACAATTTGTTCTTCAAAGGACTTTTCAATAGCTTCAATCAACATAGATATTCAGCAAATCTGTTGAATATTCAATAAAATTGTTTCTATAATCTTAGAGACAATTTATCAAACAGATAATGTGCTTCCTGCTGCAATTTTCTACAGAATCCTATCAAGGTTTGAATATGGATATAACATTCTAACTATCTAAAGACGATGATTCATACCCATTCGATTAAAAGAAAAGAGGAGGAGACTGAAAACTTACAGCCCAGAGAGGCAAAACTGGAGCTCGACCAATGACGATGAGCCAAATCCAACCATACCCGACAAAGTTACTGATAGCACCGACCAACATAGTTGCCCAGAAGGGCAATATCTCCAACAAGGTTCCGGCTAGAGTACCGACACTATCGCCAAGATCTTTCGCCACACCGAGCCGCGCAATTTGCCTCTGACTGTAACTCAAATTGGTTTTGATCACCGGCGATATGCTTCCAAAGAGATACCCAATTCCCGCGCAAGATTGAACCCATATTGCAGCCACAAAAACCAACCACCTATTGTTCAAAAAGCCCACAAGTTTCTCATTACACATACCCATCAATGCCCAGAACCCAAACTCTCTCCGATTTTTTTACGTCCGTCCCAAAATTTGGCTGCCAAAGAGGTAACTATAGAATCGAAACGGACCCTTATGGGAATGATAAGGAGGGGTGGATTGATGGAGATGGGGTGGCAACATAAACATGGATCTCTTCGACTATTAATACGCAAAATCCCCGCCATGGCGCGCACTCTGTTTTGTTAGGCACACAAACAAGAAACTTAGAATTGGATATGGCTACGGCGATTCAAATTAGAAGATGACAACAAAGCGGTGATCATCTACCAGAAATGACAACGAAACAAATCGATCGTCTACCAGAACTGCCACCATCTTAAGAGTTACCATTTGACCATTTCATATGGGAACGACGATCCAATTTCAAATATAGAATAAGGAACTTCGTAACTCGACCGTTATTTTATTTTATTTTACTGAATGGTACAAGTTATTTATGTATTGTTTTTATTTTATCGAGCTCCGACTAACAAATAGTCGATATGTCCGAGTGGTTAAGGAGACAGACTTGAAATCTGTTGGGCTTCGCCCGCGCAGGTTCGAACCCTGCTGTCGACGAGAATATTTTACTAAATTTCTCTTTTGCTTCTTGGGTTGAAAATTGGCAATATCGTTCCTAGTATAAGCCAAAATGATATTTACAGTTTTGATTTGAAGTATATATGGAAGTATGAAGAACACATTTTTTGTAAAGGTCATAATGATTGAATAGTAAGTCAAGAATAAAACATGAGAAACCAAAAATACACAGAAACAGAGTAAAGCCGAGCCAATCCACTTGAGAACATGTGAATCTGAATAACTTCATTCGCTAACCTTCGTCTTTCCAACTCATCCCTCCACCACCATTCCTCTCCCCTTTCTCCTTTACTTAATGCCGTCTTCCTCCTCCTCTTCCTTCCTCATTTCCATTCCCTAGACTCTTCCTCACCATGGCGGATTGGGGTCCAGTCTTTGTGGCGGTGGTGCTCTTCGTTCTCCTAACCCCCGGATTGCTCGTTCAGATGCCCGGGAAGAATCGCTTCATCGAGTTTGGGAACTTCCAGACCAGCGGAGTTTCCATTCTGGTTCATTCCGCTCTCTATTTTGCCTTGATCTGCATCTTCTTGCTGGCTGTTGGTGTTCATGTTTATATGGGCTCCTAATTCTAATTCTAATTCTAATTCTAATTCTGCACCTTTTGTGTAATCCTCTTTCTTTATTTCTTCCCAACTCTATCATCTGCTTCCATCTATGCATCATTTTTTTAAATCTCTCTCTCTCTGCTTATAATCATCCTCTCAACTTTATCCTCTGTTCTCGAGGAATTTGATTCCTCAACTCGATGATTCCAGATTCGAGAAAGGGGATCGGATTTACCATAAAACTTTATTCTACGAATAAGTGACTTGCCTCAACTACGTGCATACCTAACTAAACTTTATTTTACTTTATATTCAAAACTAAGAACGTAGCAAAAATAGTTTTAGGCGTGCTAATAAACTAGTCCCCCAAAAAGCACATATCGAATCAGTATGAATTTTAGACCTCCAGTTTTGATCAATTATCAAAATCTGAACACCTGATTTTTTAAAAAGTGGAATTAATTAGAGATCTATCAGATGTTCGAAATAAGCTAAATTCTGTTATGACTCAAACAAACAAAAAAATTAATTAGAGTCTATGTCTGAGTATAGTACAAGATCATTCAAAAGTCGAGAGAGTGCATCAACAAAATTTCAGGCGAGGAAAGCGAAATGAAAACTGAACTAAAAATCAAAGCATGAAGTAGAGATCTGAACTTGAAATTAAGCGGATGAGAGAATTTTTCATTCGATGAAGAGTGAGCAACATGAAAGTTCTTCAACTACAAATCACGATTCAAGGAGAGAAATTAAAAAAAAATTACATGGATGAAGCAGCAGCGTGATGTAGAAGAAGAAGAAGAAGAAGAAGAAGAAGCAGAGGTCTAAATGTAAATATGGAGGTTGAGCATAACAAGTAGCAAAATAAGGAGCAGAAGAAAGACAACGGCATGAACAAAGATGGAAGCAAAACTGGTCTTCAAATTCATGAACTCGAGGGGGCGTTCCGATCCCGGCATCTGAATGATCATCCCTGGCGACAGAAACGCAAACAGAACCGAAGCGATCAATGGAGCTGCCAAATCATTCATTCTTGTGTTGTTCTTGTAAAAATGGGGACGCACAGAATGCCTGAGTTTTAATGGTTAGAGAGGAATAAGAATTTTTGTAAAAGGTTTACGGAGCTTCTCCACCATCCCCTTTTTATTCCATTTTCCTTGTAACTAACCCCACCCCATGACACATGGCTGGTGCATTCATAATTATGTCCACCACTCCAATTTCATTGAAGACTATTGAAGACTATAGATTTATAAGTAAAAAATACATATTTATTAGTATGAAATCCTTTAAAAAAATCAAAAGCAAAACCATGAGTGACTATGCTTAAAGTGGATAAAATTATAACATGGTATCATTGCCATAGTTTTAACGTAGTCACGTCAATAAAACCCTCAAATGTCAAACAATGAAGTTGTGAGTCTCGAAAGTATAGTCAAAATGTTGTATTTTGTTTGATGGCTCCTTATGCTTCAAAGGAGGCTCTATGGTGTATTTTGTTCGAGTGGAGAATTGTTGGGAGAAGAGTCCACATCTTATACATAATAACTACACCTCTATTGTTACGAAGCCAGTTGGGGAAACCAAAAGTAAAGCAGGAGAGCTTGTGTTCAATATTATATTATTGTAGAGGTTCGAGATTCTTAAGATCACTTTCTCCACACTCACCCGTCCAATTCAAGCATAATTCAATAAACAAGGTATGAATTACCATAGTGAGAGTTGAGAGAATTAAAAATGAAAATAATTGATATATAAGGTTTTTTGGAATTAAAAATTATAATTTTCACTCGAAATATGATATTTTAAAAATTAATAAATTTTATCTTCTTTTATGTTCTCATCCCTAGCTTTTCATTTAAATAATTAAAATAATATTGTAGTCGCTGTAAGTTTTTGATTTATTTTATTTTAATTTTAGTTTAGAATTAATTTAAAAAAGTGATAAATTGATAAACAATTTTATTCAAGAAAATACATCATGGGTCGATTATTCACATTTCTAAATATTAATAGAAACTATTATTATTTTTCTAAAAAATTAAATTTAATTAACCAAGAATTTGAAAATTATAGAGATTAAAATATATATAAAAAAAATATTAACACTTGAGAGGACGGAAGGTCCACGGCACAAATTTTGATGCAATTAAATGGGAGAAAAAGGCGCAGAAAAGCAAGAGCACATTGCACAATAATCCACATCATTTCAGGAGAAGAACCATCCCTTTTCCTTCCCGCTTACTCCGCAGTCGACCGCGACCGACCCGCCAATTATCTGGGCCATCAACCCCCTGGCCCACGGGGGCCCATTTACCACTTCACCTACAAGCTCCAATTGATGACTACAGAAAGTAACTATCTGCTACCGCCCGCACAGAATAAAATTCTTAAATAATTAATTTTAATCAGTACCTATCGCCACCAATCAGTGTCAATCTCGTAATTAACATCAACTTCTAGGAGATTCCCACGTTGTTCGAATCCAGAAATAAAGAGTGAACTCTGCTGAATTCAATTTCTCTTCTTCTTCTTCTTCTTCTTCTTCTTCTTCTTCTTCTTCCCCATCGCGTTACTGCAAGACTAACTCGCTTCACGTTTTGCTACTTTGGATATTTCTCTCTTTACGTCTAGTGAAGTACGAAATCTGGGAAAGGATGTCGGATTGGGCACCAGTAGTGATCGGAGTTGTACTGTTCGTACTGCTCTCTCCAGGGCTTCTGTTCCAGTTTCCGGGGAATAATCGACAGTTTGAGTTTGGGAGTATGAAGACCAACGGAAAGGCCATCGCCATTCACACGCTCATTTTCTTTATCCTTTACGCCGTCTTCATTCTCGCTCTCCGTATCCACATCTATACTGGCTGATCCGGTATTCTCTTATTCTCGTCTCTTTCCGTTTTCATTCGAGATTGTTACCAACTGAAGTTTCTGCAATCTTGGTGATGTTTGTGCCGCCTTGTGTTTTGTATTTCTTTTCGAAGCGGATCTTGTTTGATCTGTCTGGATTTGCGATTTGTGTATGTGTAGTCGGAGACTCGGAAGAGATAAAGGAATTTTGTTTGTTAATTTCGTTTTTACATACGCCTATCCCTCCATTGCTGGTATACATCCAACATTGGGCTCTGTAGCTACTCATGCTCATCGAGAAGCTTCTTTTTCTTTCCCCCTATTCTTTAGTTTCATAAATTTAACGCATCTCAAGTACAAGGTACTCGTCTTAGCGCGGTTAATCTGGTCAAATTTTTGTTGAAGTCTCATAGTATAAGCAAGCTACTAGAGGGGTATGATCAATTAGTTAAGACAATAGAGAAGAATTTTGCTCAAAATATTCAAACAATTACCGCGAGAGTGTTCATTGAACTTTACCTTTCTTATTAACCCCCAAAAAGAATGGAAATTATAGATTACATTTAGACAGATTATTACACTATAGAAAGTTATTGTTGAAAGGGAAGAAGAGAACAAGAAATGGAGCAGAGTAGGCAGAAGTATGCTGTAAGTCCTAGTGAAAAAGAAGCAATTCATTTGGCGAAGGTAGCCAAAGCAGATTATGAAGTTGTTAAACGTGTATGTGAATACCAATTGCGATGACCAATATGGTGAGTATGCAGAAGAATATGATGGCGTGCACCAAAATGGCAATCCCACTGGTGTTCATGTTCCCAAACTCCACCACCCTGATTCTGGCCGGCAACTGAAAAAGCAGCCCCGGCGACAGGAGAATGAAGAGCGCCACTGCTACCACAACCGGCCCCCAGTCTGCATTCATCTCTATCTAGAAGAAGAGGTGTGTTTTGAAGTAGACAGAGAATAGGATGAGTGTGAGCGAGAGAGAGAATTGAAGGTTGGAAGTACCTGGAAGTAAAGAGGGGTTATAAGGGGGAATGAGTCTGTAGATTTGCTTAAGGAAGAAGGAGTTGAGGGGTTGGATGCCAAACTTGGGGAGAAAGAAGAAAAATGTTCATAATCGAAGGAAAGGTATGTGATGGGTCGATGGGAGTGGATCTGCTTTATGAAGATTGAAAGAAAAGGATTTGGATTTTCCTTCATTCCAGTTCCAATGGAAATGCTCTCTTTTTTCTTGCTTTAGGGATGTGTGATGAGGGTGGAGCCTTTTGTTTAAAGAAATTGGATGTGTGTGCTAGTGTAAAGTTGTGTTTATCAGGCTTAGATTATTGAGAATGCTTTGTTGTTTGTTTGTTTGTTTGTTTCTTTACACCAAAAGCTTAGAAGGATTGTCTTGTCATAAAGATGTTCGAGGCCTGCGGAATTCATTGCACCATGATGCAAGCATGAATGTGATTGGGCAATGAACAGAATATTTTTGTTGTCGCATAATATCATATCTTGAAGATGGGGAAATAGCTTTATCTCTGTGCATTGCTTTTCAGATGTATGAGTTAACATATTGCTCTATTCTTTTCTTCGCCTCTGTAGGCAATCAAGACCACTCATCTTCTCTGGTGTGAATAGGAATCAATCAAATGATTATGAGTTGATCAAACTTGCATAACATTTCTTTTCTCCTCTTTTCATTTTTTGTAAGCCCACTCTTGCCCCTCTCGTCTCGTCTCGTCTCGTCTCTTGTTTTTATGCAACAACGACCTTTTTTGAGCAATTGGAAAAATAGCTTTAGAAGAAAGGGTACTGCCAGGAACAGGTAGTTTTAGGATTTTGAAAAGGAACATATTCTTTCGAGAAAAAAGATCACTACCAGTTTTAGCTGTTTTTTATATAAACATCGTGGCCAATAAAATGATGGTCGATTAGTCTTGCCACTTAATATTAATCTAAATGGTTCCACCTACTATGTTTTTTTTTTCTTTGCACAAAAGAACAGCAGAATAAAGTGTCAGTAATTGAGTCTATAATTTCTATATATTTAATATCTAGATAGATTAAACAATCCCTCAATCCGGGTTGCAACTGTATAGCACCTACCTATATATTATACATTTCTATTACGAACCTAATTTAGATAAAGAAAACACAGGAGAGAAGAAGATATTGAGTTTTCACAAACAGAAAACATCACATAATATCCATTATATGCCAAAGCTTCTTCAATTGATTAAGCCCTCAAGTCTAAAGCGTTCTTGGACTGATGATATGTACATGGCAGCCTTTCGATCGATATGTTCGTCAACAAAACCCCCACCACCTTGAGGGTTCCTAAAGTTGGCCTCGTGGACATTATTCATGGCTTGATCATGAACAACTCTTTGGTTCGATGGAGCCATCGCAGCCCTCTCCTGGCGATGAACCATAAACGAAACATGACTTGAACACGACGCCATACCTTCCCCATGGAGAGGGCCCAACATGCCCTTCACAAGGCCTCTTGCTCTACACCTCGCATCCATCTCTTTCCTGATCTGAGTTTTCTTTTTGCAGCTGGGGAGTGGGGTATTTATAAGTGAAGGAGCAAGTGATCTAGATTTTTATCTCATCTAATTCAGAGATGGATATGAGAGAATTTTGAGTGTATTCTAGGGTGACCCACCAAGGGAAAAAACAAATATGTAGGAGCATAATATTCAAAAGATTATTGTTCTTACCAAGTTATATTGGTAAGACATGGATGGAGACCTTAGTCTTTAATCAATTTAATATAGATTAATGTGTTATGATTATAGCCAAATAAAGGGTTAGATCTAATCTCTTGATTAATAACATTTGTGTAATGGAGAATCCAATCTCCTGGACAAAGGGAAAGATCTTCTTCTACCTATTAATTCAAAGTTAATCAATCATGGTTTCTATTTTTCTAATAGGTTAGCCACTCAGACTTTAACATTTGTTCTCCAATAATTAAATATGTAAATGTTCTAAGAATAATATCATTTGTAAAAATAAATGGATGGAATATATGAGATTAATTAATTAGTTAACTCTTTTCTTAATTGCTTTTAAGAAATTCGATCTTCTAGAGAGAAACACAAACAGATGGCACACACCTAATGTGACTTCTACTTAGCAGACTTGTTTAACAATATGGAGGAAAAGTTGTAGAGTTAAAGCCGTGCAAGCCCAAAGAAAATAATATCTTACTTGTGTATCAAATCTCTCCACCCTAGTGTATCTTCGAGTGAATTTGAGAAACAAAATCCGACAAATGATTCAGTTTGTGTGTTTACAAGCTAAGCTATTGGGAGATTGAAGCCAAGGCACATTAACTTCAAATTGGGGATTCTGACAAATTTTGATGCTTGAAAACGGCATTCAGCTTCAGCCCATTCGCCTGGCTCGTCGTCTCCGCTGAACGGATCCCATGGCCAGCTTTGTTTCTGTTTCTAAGTTGTTCGTTGGCTGGAAGCCAACCCCACTATCAAATTTACCTGCGCGCGACTCCTTCAGCAGGTATTCTATTCATATCACCACTGCAATCCTTCCATTTTCTCTCTTATTTTTCGAGCTCAAGCCGTTGTTTCGTGACAACTCCTAATTAGCGTATTGTTTGTCACTTTTATTTGGCGTTTGTAGTTCGAATTCTCTAAGAACCAATGCTCTCTCAGTGAAATCCGATTACTCTTGCTTTGAAGTGAGTTACAATCTCTCAACTCTATCATTCACTGATTATTGCCGTTTAGCAGTTTTCCCGTTGCCCTAATTGAGATTGACCCATTTGATTTCGTTACAATTCCTTCAATTTGGTGGAATGTGGATGTTATTGTGAAACTTGATTCGGCTACTAAGTCTGTTTGTGATTCTTAAGGTTAGGGATTTAAGCTATCGACCTCCAGGGACCGAGCATTCTCTTCTCGACACAGTTAATTTTTCCCTTCGAGAGAAAAGGTATAATTTGCTGCTCTGGTTTCAGTGTATATTGGTGTAGTATATCGTGACGAGGGGTTCAAGCTTTGAAAGAAAAGTTATCCCATACTCTCTAATGATGGTCATGGATAGGAAAATGGTTGTAAAAGTTGACGATTGAATAAATTATCTTTCTGAAGCCTAAAATTTTCTTGAGTTCTAGTAATTATATTACAGTTCAACCTGGCTAACCTGAATCAACTATCAAGGTACTTGTGAAGGACTTGTCTGTCCTCCCTTTTAGTAATAAAGGGCGTTTCACCACATATCTCTAACATGGACTTCTTCCCCAAGAGTTTATTAATGCTCACATATACCTCATTATCGTCCCCACATGATTCTCCTTTCTGTTGATTTATGCAGTTTTGGGTTAATTTTTGGACAAAGTGGAAGTGGGAAAACTACTTTATTGCAGGTTTTGCTATTTTCTTTCAAATTTTAATGTATTAGGCCTTCCCTCACATCTCTCATGCTCTTTTTTATCTACTTATTTGTTGATTTATTGTTTACGAGTATGTTAATCTTTCTTCCCGGTCTTGTTTAGCTTCTTGCAGGTCTGAGCAAGCCAACTTCTGGTTCCGTTTATGTCCAAAAGTACGGTAAAGATGACAAACCATGTCAGTCTTCTCAACCGTTAACCACTGATAGGGTTGGCATTGTCTTTCAATTTCCAGAGAGGTATCGTCCATTTTGGTTAGCCTTGATAAGACTAATATTTTGAAACTAGTTTTGAATATCGTTGAACTAGAAATGTGATTAAGGCTGCTTTAATCTCATAGAGTTGTGTGGCCTTTCTTTTTCATACATATCACCTCATTTTCCTGCTATTTATCTTCATTCCTTTGGATGGGAAACACTTATATTAATGAACAAAGTATGTAGGAAGGACTAGGTTTCCAACCCGAATGATCGGAACAAAGGAGCTTATAGCAGAACTCTTCCATTGGTCAAAAAGAAAAGAAAAAAAAGTGGAAAAAAAAAACAAAAACTTGTTAAAGAGGGAGTCATCTAGACACATTAATCCAGTCCTAAATTTCATTCTGCTCCTTACATTTCCCTCAATAAACCTTTCTTCTTTACTAATTTTTCAAGAAAATAAAAAACCGGTAAATCTTCATCATTTATAGCATATGAAATGATAAGTTACTGAAAATATTCTTTTGCTGAAGGTAGGTACTTTGTTGCAGACAACGTGCTAGATGAAGTCACATTTGGGTGGCCGCGGCAGAAGAGTGATGTTTATTTGAAACAGGACCTTGCCTTGAGACTCCAAAGAGCAATTAATTGGGTACTTTTGATCTTTCCCATCAACAGCTGATTACATTCTTTTTGTTATGTTGGCATACATGTTTTTTTTATTATTTCATTATAATTATTATTATCGCGATGGATTGCTTTATTCCTTTCTGTCGATGACTGTAGGTGGGATTAAATGGCATACCCTTGGACAAAGATCCTCACTCTCTCAGTGGTGGCTACAAGCGCCGTCTTGCCTTGGCAATCCAACTGGTAAGCCTAAATAACAAAATGAACTCATGCGAGGAATAGAATCTAGAGTACAAAAATTGTGCCTTTTATTTTTAGGTCTAATCTAACAACATTTTAAGGTTAGATAAATTGAATAATTGATTATTGATGGAAAATATTGTCGACTCCACAATATTAGTGGTAGTTGGGGTACTACTATAGTTAATACATGATTTTTATTGCTAGCCTGGAGAAATAAATTAATGCTATTCTTTTTTCATCTGATTCTAGTTCCAAATTGTTTTGTTAAAATATAATTCGTTGTTCTATTTGTACCTTTCAAAATGCTTGTGTACCTGCATTCTTAAACAGAACATATACATTGAATAAAATCATTTTTTTGCAGGTGCAGTTCCCAGATCTGTTATTACTGGATGAGCCTCTAGCTGGTCTTGGTATGAAGATCCATTTCACGATCCTTATAAATATAATAGTATTGTCTATAAACTAAAGAAGTTGAATGTCCCACAAACTTGGGGATTTGATAAAAAATGGGAAATCCAACTAAGGAAATTCTGGATCATTTAGTTCACGTATTTCGGTTGGCTTGATGGCTTTTTTATCATTGAAATTCGAGGAACTTAAGGTCTTCACCTTTAGTATTTCATTAATCAAATCACAAGGCTAGAATGAATAGCTTCCACTTCAACGTGTTGTAAGCTATTCAAACTTGGGTTCTCATTTGCCCTTGGCTTTAAATTATGTTTAACAACAATTTCTTGGAACTAATGTTTTATTGGAAGAATTTTCTATTGTTTTTATAAGGACTGGTTCATATCGTTTGGCATCTTGGCATATGAAGCTTTTTGAAATGTGGGATGTAATTTTGGCCTATGCTTTTGTTTAATGCTCTTTCATTCTTATGATAGATTGGAAGGCTCGTGCTGATGTTGTGAAGCTTTTAAAGAATCTAAAGAAAGACTTAACTGTACTTGTCGTCAGCCATGATCTCAAGTTAGTCTCTGCTCTTTCACTCCCTCTTCCAGCTTTGTCTTAACTATTAGCCATCCCCCACCCCCCCAAAAAAAAAAAAAAAAAAAAAACAATTCTCTAATTACATGATTAGTTTAAATAGATTTGCTACAAGCTCTTAATTCAACGTAGGCCATAGATTTGTTCTCTTTCTGTTAGCTATAGTAATGAAAAGCCGATGGGACATTTTTTTTGTTAATTTGTTAAAATAATAATGATGTTTATGTAGCTTAAAAAAGTTATCTAGAACTATTCTCCCCTCATTAGTGTACCTTGAGGTTGTGCCCATATCCCTGTTGCAAGTTATTCTGGAATTTGAAATTTGTTAAGATTCAAGTTTATTGCTCCAAACCTAATGCAACTACACTTTTGCTTCTACCAAACCAACATCTGGTAAAAGAAAATTGACACTGCCATTCTCTTGCACTGTATGTTAACCTGTTCTGATCTCATTTGATAAAGGTGTTCATGTTCACTCATTAATTCTGTGTGCCTTTCAGAGAGTTTGCTGGCTTGGTTGACTATTCATGGAGAATGGAAATGGGCGGTGTTCTTAGAGAAGAAGCTCTGCCTGTTTAATTTGTAATTTTTGACTATGCGTTCATGCTGTGAGTATAATTTCCTGCTGTTATGGCTTCTTTATTATTTTCTCTTGCTTCTTCCATTTCTGTTCACAAAAGCTTGCGACAGTCTGGTGGCCAAGCTTGTGTTGGATTTTCTAAAATGAACTGTTCTTTATCTAGTCATGTAGCTATGAGAACTAAAATTTGTCAGTTTACCAGGAGGAGAATATCCATGTTTATACGTATGGTTTGACATTTTTGTACAGTTTCAAAAAGATTCTTTCAGAGAGAGTGCCGTTGCATTATCTCTGGGAATGAATTCTCCTCATTTTAATGAAATCTTTTGTCTTTGCCTTGAATTTCCAGCATGGAATCAACCACAGCTGTGTACACTGGTGCAGTTTCATTCACGCTTTTGCGAGTCACTGCATCAACTCAAGGACCAAAACTGGTCGTAGATTCGCAAGGTTATGGTAACCAACCCATATTGAATTGCCTCTGTTTCTAATGGGGAAGTTTTCGAATCGTTGTACATCCAATAATAGTGTCAGAACTTTAAAACAACATATATGCCGAAACAATTTTGGACTGAAGTCTTTTTCCAAATCTTCAACATACTAGACTTTGTTATTATTCATCTGCATTTGATTTTCTATGAATTATTGTCTGGTTCATTTACAACTTAACTGGACTAGATGAACTCTTACATCCCTCTTCAAACGAGGCGTGATGTAGAGAAGAGAAGTTCGATTTCGTTCGATATCGACATTTGATATGATAATCCTTAAGAACTAAGATACAGTTCAGTTGGTTTCTTTGTTTTGGAACCTTAGGATTTTGGGTTCCTCCTGTTTTCTGGTAATCGTTTGCAGACGATGGAAATTGAAGGCTTTATCCCACTAAATAAATTGGTTTATTTTAGGGTGATTTAGTGTGAAAAGAATAATATGATTCATGAATATAGATAGGGTTCCACCATAATTGTATTGCGATCAGTTTCCCTTTATTCGTTAACAGTTTGGCAAGTGGTTCAGATTCTGCAACCTTTCTAAGTATATTCCCAGCAGCTGATTCCATACATATGGATAGAACTAAAGGGTTCAATCTTGAGAGTTATCTCCTCAATTTTGAAATTTTCATTAAATGAAGCTATAAGATCATATGTTATGGATATGGATTTAATTAGATCACATATTGCGAGTTAACCTAAAATTTGGAAGAGAGAAATTTCATAAGTTAACCTAAAATATATATAGTAATTATTTAGAACGTGAAGCATAAATTTTAGGAGTCGCTCACGATGAAATTGGCGGTAAGATAAGCGGCAACTCTCCGACCAAAGTCCCGCGGTTTAGATGACACGTGATCCGCAGCGCCCTCGGTGGTCCTCCACAACTTGGGGCAATCGCTATCAATAATACCCACAAAAATTTTACTCTCAAAACCTTTCCTCCAGTCGCCATGGAAATAGATATAGTCAAGTCCTACAAATTACGAAGCTACGCACCTAAACTTTCCTTGCCTATCCTAAAACCAACACCCCACATTCACCGTTTTCCTCCTCCAATCCACGCTTCCCTTCTGTACCTTTCCCCTTTCCCTCTCTGCTTTACTTTTAAGCCTTCCCTTCTTCTTATTCTTCTTCCTTTTTGCTACTGCGAGGATTTGTTCTTCATTTCTACAGCTTTAGTCGTTTCTGGTCATAAGTTTTTGTGGGCTGTTCTTGAAGTCTGCTTCTGGGCGGAGATTGTGGAGGGTTTTCAGCATGGACAACGAGTATGACAAACTTATCAGGAGGATGAACCCGCCTAGGTACTCCTCTTCCTTCTTATGGGCATCTCAAAATGAAACGGGTTTTGATTTTCGACTCGGATGGTGTTTTAATTCTTTGCCTCTGTAACTACTGGAAATCTGTTGAGTTTCCGTTTTTCTCTTCCAAGTTTCTTGGTTTTGCTGACTTCTTGGAGTAATGTCAACAATCAAAAGCAGATGTGGTTTGGTTTCTATTGCAATCCAGTTACTCGAGTTGAAGTGAATGAACTCATGATGTATTAGTCTTGTGGCTGTTTGTTTCTAGAATAATTCTCCTCTTTGTTTTACTTCAGAATACAATTGCTTCTCTGCTTTTCTTCTTCTGATTTATTTTATTCATTCCGTCCCTTCCCTGCAGAGTTGTGATTGACAATAACGCTTGTAAGGATGCTACCGTCATCCAGGTGCTTTCTCTAGGATTTTGATGATCTTCAAGTCTGCCCTGCACTTATTGTTCTTCTTTTTTCTCTTTAAAAAAAAAAAAAAAAAAAAAAAAAAAAAAAAAAAAAAAAAAAAAAAAAAAAAAAAAAAAAAAAAAAAAAAAAAAAAAAAAAAAAAAAAAAAAAAAGGTTCAATCATGAGCTAAAGATTGCTACCATTTCTTTCCTCCTACTCATTAGGTTGACAGCATGAACAAGCACGGGATTCTCTTAAAAGTCGTGCAAGTCCTCATGGATATGAACTTAGTAGTGACCAAAGCTTATATCTCCTCTGATGGAGGTTGGTTCATGGATGGTAAGTAGTTCTGACTTTTCAGTTACTTTGAACCTGAAAAGCTTAACCACTTATGGGTTACTTTGTTTTCCAGTTTTTAATGTTATCACTTGTGAAGGAAACAAAATCAGAGATCAAGAAGTGATAAACGCCATACAAATGGTAAACCTCCTTTCAATTTATAGGATTTTGGACCCTTGTACATGTACTATGGGATAAATAAATGAATGTTTCATCTCTTATGAGGGCTGTGTTATAATGAGATTATTAACTTCACTACACAGAGGCTTGAAGTTGATGCGAGTTTTGTGCCATCTTTGAGGGAATCCGTCGGTGTGATGCCCTCAGAAGATCACACCTCGATCGAGCTGTCTGGTAATGACAGGCCTGGTTTATTGTCTGAAGTTTGTGCTGTTCTTGCGGACCTTCACTGTAATGTAGTAAATGCTGACGTTTGGACACACAATAATAGGGCTGCAGCTGTAGTGCATGTGACAGATGATGCCACTGGCGGAGCCATCAAAGATACACAGCGGCTCTTAACAATCAAGGAGTTACTGTGCAATGTTCTCAGAGGGAATGGCGAGTTAAAGGAAGCCAAAATGACCCTTTCTCCTCCTGGGGTCACCAGCACAGACAGAAGGCTGCATCAGATCATGCAGACTGATAGAGATTATGAAAGGGCTGGCCAAACAAGGCTTGAGGTTGAACATAAGAACTTGAGACCCCATGTTACTGTCTTGGATTGCACAGAGAAGGATTACACTGTGATTACTACCAGATCTAGAGATCGCCCTAAGTTGCTGTTTGATGTCATTTGCACTTTGACGGACATGGAATATTTTGTCTTTCATGGGATGGTCAACACTGGGAGAATGGAAGCTTATCTGGTAATTTTAAGATCCCTTGACCCATTTAAGCTTTTGAGTTAGTTGTGATTTAAAAGAAAACTGGTACTTTTCTTTTCAGGAATTTTACGTAAGACACAAGGATGGGTTGCCGATTAGCTCTGAAGCAGAAAGAGATCGAGTATTGAATTGTCTTGAAGCAGCTATTGAAAGAAGGGAGTCTGAGGTGCAAGAGAAGCCATTGTTGTGTTTCTTTTGCTTATTGTTTGAAGGTGAAGTATCTGCAATATATAATGTTGTCTGGCTTCCTTTGCAGGGACTTAAACTAGAACTGTATGCAGAAGACAGAGTTGGGCTCCTGTCAGATATCACAAGAGTATTTAGGGAGAACAGCCTTTGTATCAGGAGAGCAGAAATAGCCACCAAACATGGAAAAGCAAAGGACATTTTCTATGTTACAGACATGACAGGAACCTCCATTGATGCAAAGATTGTTGAGTCCATTCGAAAACAGATTGGGGACGCCATGTTACAGGTGAAACACAGCTCGTGCCTCTCTGAAACGTCCCCAAAGGAGACAACAACAGGAGTCTTCTTGGGGAACTTCTTCAAGGCAAGAACATTCCAAAATTTCAAATTGATAAGATCCTACTCTTGAAAGCAGCTGCTCTGCCCTTTGTGTGCATATTCTTTCACAAGTAAAAAAGATGCACAGATACACGATTAAGTTCAAGGGACAATGTAAATGTATAGGAACCCTTCCGTTTACCCTTACAAGTGAGGGGTTTGGAATAACTATAAACCCAGAAGAAGCCTACCTTCTTCTGTTGAAAGGCAAGTTTGATTGGATGTATGTATTTGTTGTCTTTTAAGAAAATGATGTACACAGGACAGTGTAGTGTGAGGAAAATGCTCATTCTACAAAAATTGTAGAAAAGACTGTAAAGCTGTAATTATTGGTCTCAAACTCGATGGAAATAGATGCACAAAATTGCCTTCTTATTGTATGTTTGAAGATCTTTAGGAATATCATTCACCAATTGTTGAAACGTGATAGTTCTTGTATTGTTTGAAGAATCTGTAAAATTGGATCTGCTTTTGGAGAGGAAGGAAGAAATGCTAATAACTCACTGGATATAACAGACAACATTGATGGGGAGGTTTCTTGAACCCACTCCACATGTTGCTTAGCAAGTGGAACCTCTCCAGCATCTGCAAAACCTTTCAGTAAAGTTACATGGGAGTCTGGGTGAGCAATGTCGCTTGTGAGACCACGGAGTAATTTGGAAGCAGCAAGGAAATGACCTGCAGTGTTTTGAACCCAGGCTAAATTAAATGAAAATATTGAATACAGAACCGTTTTCTGGTCCTCAGGACTCTTTGTAGGACAAAAAGAGGCAAGGAGGCTCGATGTGGACACTGCTACTTCAGATGAGTGTTGGGCAACATAGCCGACAAGGGTATAGTCGAAGAGATAACTCCAAAGAGAGTGATTTGGCCAATAGAAGGGAGGATGTTACAGGGTCAACAATGGCTTTGGTTGTTTATGAAGAGGGTCTAGGTAACAAATGGGTGTAATCTAAGAGATAACCTATAACGGTCCAGGTTTGGGCTCAAGCCCACCGTTAGTCGATATTGTCTTTTTTGGACTTTCTCCCAAGGTTTTAAAACGCGTCTGCTAGAGAGAGGTGTGGGGAGAGGTTTCCACACTCTTATAACAAATGTTTCGTTCCTCTCTCCAACCGACGTGGGATCTCACAATCCACCCGTTTCAAGACCAAGTGTCCTCGTTGGCACTTATTCCTCTCTCCAATTTATGTAGGATCTCATAATCTATCCCCTTCAGGGCCTAGCGTCTCATTGGCGCACCGCCCGGTGTCCACCCCCCTCGGGGCTCAATGTTCTTGCTGACACACTGCCTGGTGTCTGGCTCTGATACTACTTGTAACCACTAAGATCCACCGCTAGCAAATATTGTCCTTTTTGGGCTTGCCCTTTCAGGCTTTCCCTCAAGGTTTTAAAACGCGTATGCTAGTGAGAGGTTTCCACATTTTTATAAAAAATATTTTGTTCCCTCTCCAACCGATGTGTGTTCTGATATAACTCCACGGGAGAGTGATTTAGCCCATAGAAGTGAGGATAAGGGTCAACAATGGCTTTGGGTGTTAATGAAGGGTGTTATCCAACAGATAACCCAGGAGAGAGTGATTTGGGACATAGAAGAGGTTTTGTAAAGGGTCAGGTATGGCGGTGACTATGGGACTTGTTATGTGAGAAACAAATGACTCCAAACTAGAAGCATATAACAAACACACAAGAATTAACCAGGGAAGTGACTTGCCTGCTTTACACAGACACAGGATAAAAGTGCTCAGCAAGGTTCCCGCAAGATTTACATCCTGTTCAACACACTTGCTAAACACTTCAAAAGCAGCTTCCAGTTGTGATTCCTGACAGAGCCCTTGAAGCAGGGACGTGTAGATTGTAATGTCAGGTTCTACCTTTTTTCCAAGCATATGACGGTAGAGCACCAAAGCTTCCTCCATCTGATTGGATTTAGAAAACTTTTGAACGAGGATGTTATACGTCTTTAAGTTACCTCCACAGCCACTGGCAAACATCTCATCCCACAGCTTCCTAGCAGGCCGAAGTAGATCTTCTCTACAACATGCTTCTAGCACAGAATTGTAAAAATATACATCAGGGGCAAACCCATTTTTCTTCATCTCCTGCAAGACTCCATAGGCCTCTTTCACCATTCCAGCCTTGCATAAGAATGAAATCCTTAAACGATATCTATCATAATCATCGAAGTAGTTATGTTTACTCAGAACTTGATAAACTTCCAACAGCTCGTCAAGCTTTCCATGCTTGCATAAATTCCTACTCAGATTCCTTAAAGTCAAGAGAGTGGGAAATCGCTCTTTCTCGACCATGAACATCAAGAACATAATAGCAGAGGAAGGATCGATGGCAGCGACTGATCCTATCAGCACATTAGAAACATCTTCATCCATAGGAAAATTTGCTCTCACAATAACTTCACCTAACTCTTTAGCTTCACATATCCGTCTCCCAGCTATTAAAGCAAATAAAAACTCCTTATAATCATGAAGCCTTGGAGCTACCCCCAACTTTCTCTTCTTCTTCAGGGTTTTCTCCCTATCAACCACACTCCCTGCTAACCGATATGCTTCTCCAAGAATCCAATACGTCAAAAAGTCAGGCTTGCAACCCCTGTTCTTAAGCTCATCCAAAATATTTGAAGCTTCTGAAAGTCTAGATGCCCCACAGAGCCCATGAATGATCAGCGTGGCAACGACAGATCCATTGATCTCCGAATTATTGGTCATAGCATCATCTAGCATGTTCAAGACTTTAACTACATCAGCGTTTCTACAAACCCTCCATATAAACACACCAAATCCAAGAGTGTTGAAAGGAATGCCTTTAAGAGACATTTCATCGAACACTTTCTGGGCATGCTCAAAAAACCCATCAGAAGCAAGAGCAGCCAAAAGCGAATTACATGGTTCGGATCCAATAACGTGGGTAACTGAAGTAACCTCCTTAAAAACCAGAAAAGCATCATGTGTCTTCTTGCCAATGATCAACGAATCAATAACAGAGTGATAAACTGATAAATCGAGACCAATTCTCTGAGTTTTTACCTGTTTCAAGAGACAATGAATGGCCCCAAATTGGCGTGAAAGAGAGAGAGACTTGAGAACCGACTTGTAGGATTCAGAATTGTGGGCGAAACCAGGTTGCTGAGAAGCCCAATTGAAGAAACCGAGAGCGAGGGAGTGATGACTGAGAAGATGAGGATCGATGACTTGAGAGACAAGCGATGGATTTAGCGTTTCGCGAAAACCGAGTCGATGCAAATTCTGCTCCAGTGAAGGGGTCCATGATCCAGCCGGGCTTGTGTGATTTGAAATTGAAAGTACGGTTCTGCTCACTCGAGTAGCTAACTCTTGTAAATGGGGTTTCATTTCAAAACTGCGCGGGAGTGAACGGCTTTCGTTTCTGAGTCCGTCCTTCCTCGAATTGTCTCCTTTGGGAGTAATTGATGAACAATATGGAGGGAAAATGATTTATCATGATTGAACTTTAAAAAAAAAATAATAATAATGATAATAATTTTTCCTCGAAATTGGATTCAAGCATTAATAAAAAAAGTTCATGGATTGAACTTAATACAATTCACCAATAATTCGTCGATGAACTTTAATTTTCTTTTAATGAAAATGTATTAATTCCAACTTAAGATTTACAATTGCAATTCTAAAAAAAGGATATTTTTTGTTTCTTTGAGATTGGTAAGGAAACCTCGTGTAGGCTCATGGGTGATCTGTGTTCGTATAGTATTTCTCTTCCCTGCTTTCCTTAACTTCAAGTTGAAGCCATCGCAACCCAACCAAATCCCTCTTACAGAAGTGGCAGCCACTACCATCTGCTACAAAGCCACATCGCGACGGCATGGATAATCGGAAGGTTATCGTCTGCGACAACGGAACTGGGGTATCTCTTTCTTCTTTTAACCGCTGCTTCAACCTATCGATTTCTCCCCCCTCGATCACCCTCTTCTCGATTCGGTTACCTAAAATTAGATCGTTGATTAATCGCAGTATGTGAAATGTGGATTCGCCGGGGAGAATTTTCCCACATCTGTGTTTCCTTGTGTGGTGGGGAGGCCCCTGCTTCGCTACGAAGAATCGCTCATCGAACAGGAGTTGAAGGTTCGCAATTTCCCTGTTTTGTTTGCGTCGCTCATCGAACAAGAATCGCTCCTCCGTTTTCATTTGAATATTGTAGTCACGTGAACTCAGAAATCATGTCTGAATTACTCCCAGGACATTGTCGTCGGAGAAAGCTGTGCAGATTTGCGTCATCAACTTGATATAACCTATCCAGTTCACAATGGAGTTGTCCAAAACTGGGATGATATGGGTCATGTGTGGGACCATGCCTTTTTCAATGAACTGAAGGCAAGGATTTTGTAGCACTTACAATCAGCATTACACATATAATGCCGAACTAAATTGCTTCTGTGTTTGCTGCCAATAGATAGATCCAAAAGAATGTAAAATTTTGCTCACAGACCCACCTCTGAATCCTTCAAGGAACCGTGAACAAATGGTTTGTGAGCTTTGATTTTCTTTCAATCTTCTTTCGATTTCATTAATGAGTTGGGTCAATTTAACCTCACAGGTTGAGACGATGTTTGAGAAGTACAACTTTTCTGGGGTCTTCATTCAAATCCAAGCAGTTCTGACTTTGTATGCTCAAGGTGCTTATAAAGATGAATGAAGGTGTACCTTCCCTTATATATTTGGTTAGTAGATCATAATTGTTGAACAGAAAAGTAAATATGATTACGATGCAGAAGAAAAAGGCATACACCTACGGTAAACACCCTCAAATTCACTCTTGTTTTTCAGCTAATTCTTCACTCATTCTTCTTCCTCTGCTAGGTTTACTGACCGGGTTAGTCATCGACTCCGGTGATGGTGTCACTCATGTGGTAAATAATTTACATATTGCTGAAATCTTTCATCTTCCTTATGCTTATTGAACAAAGTACATTTGTTGTCCAGGTTCCAGTTGTTGATGGTTACTCATTTCCTCATCTTACAAAAAGAATGAATATAGCTGGGCGACACATTACTTCATATCTTGTCGATTTACTCTCACGGAGAGGGTGCGAATTGTTTTTCATTGCACAGTCAATATCAAATCTGGATGGAAATTAAGAGATTATTTCTTCAGTTAAATGGACTGTTCTTTGGCTAACACATGCAACTTCTTGAAGGTATTCGATGAATAGGTCTGCTGATTTCGAGGCCGTTAGGGAAATTAAGGAGAAGTTATGCTATATAAGGTCGACTAAATAATTTGACTTCGTATGCTTTTGATATGTGCTTGTTCACCACGCTTTAATGATACATGTACGTATGTATATATGTGCAGTTATGACTACAAGAGGGAATATCAACTGGGGCTTGAGACCACCATTCTTGTCAAGAACTACACTGTAAGTCACCTTTCGAAATTCTTCGAAGGATTCAAATTAACCATACTCTGTATAAGTAAAGTCCTCTGACTTAGATTGAAGAGTCTGCAAGTTCACAACAGTAATAATCCTAATGGACCTAGCTATATAACTTAAAGGGTGATAGCCCCAAAGGCCAATAACTCCAGGTTGCCTCAACTCAACTAAGATGGCGTGTTCTTAGTTGAAATACTCGAATATTAACATTCCCCAGAACAATGTCGGAAAATATCTACCGTGGCTCAATTTTTTTATGCGTGTGCTTTGAACGACCCAATTAGGGTTTCAATTTTAAGCGCGTAAATACACTTTTATAGGCTATATTTCTTCAAAATTTGGGTTGAAATCATTGCATTCGAACTCCAGGTTGCCTCAACTCAAGTAAGATGGCGTATTCTTGTTCTGACATGATTTGCAGACTTTTTTTGAAGTTTGTTGATTTGATATCTCTTTTACTTGGTTTTGGTCTTACTGAGAGTTGTGTTTGATGTTATTTCAATTTCACGTGGATGATTTACTTTGAGCAGCTTCCAGATGGAAGGGTGATCAAAGTTGGCACCGAGCGTTTTCAAGCTCCCGAGGCGCTTTTTACACCAGTAAGCCTCTGATTTTTAACAAAGCTTTTTTTTTTCTTTGTTCAACATTGTTATGTGCACTGTACTTATAACAATGTTGAGTAAAACAAGGTTGATTAAATAATAAATGAAGTGGTTCCTTGATGCAGGAACTGATAGATATTGAAGGGGATGGCATAGCAGATATGGTTTTTCGTTGCATTCAGGAAATGGATATTGACAATCGGATGATGGTATGGTTAGATGTTTCATATGATTTGAAGAAATGGATATTCATTTTTGATGTTAAAGTAAATATGAATATCATTGGTTTGCAGCTTTACCAGCATATCGTTTTAAGTGGTGGGAGCACAATGTATCCAGGATTGCCTAGTCGGTAATTACTTTATGTTTTTAACTATAATTACTTCATAGGGTTGACCCGTAATTGGTGTTTAATATGTGTTTAGAGCTTGAGTACATGGGTGACTAATTGTAATAATATTCAGTTTGGAGAAGGAAATAGTTGAGCGCTATCTCGAAGTCGTGTTGAAGGGAAACAAAGATGGTTTAAGGGTAATATCTAATCCGAACCCGTTAGCTATTAGATATTATATGTGCCTGTAATTAATATGAATGATTCATAGAAACTGAGATTGCGCATAGAGGATCCACCAAGAAGAAAGCACATGGTGTATCTGGGAGGTGCAGTCCTAGCAGGAATAATGAAGGTATGTTTGAGTATGGCGATGTCGAAAACGTTATAAAGCATTTGAGAAAAGAGGAGGTCACTGTATGTTGTGACACATCCAGGATGCACCTGAGTTTTGGATCAGCAGGGAGGATTATCTAGAAGAAGGTGTTGGTTGTCTAACAAAATGTGGGCAGGCATGAGTTTTTGGGAATCCGTTGATGCCTGTAAGACCCACGTTCTTGTTTCCTCTCCACTTTACCTCTATTTTCTTTGGTTTCAGAGTTGTAATGCAATCAATCACAACCTGTTTTGAACTCAAACATCGGCGCCTTCTAATTTGTTCTTCAAAGACTCAACTCAATGTCAGTTTATTTCTTTATAAAGTTTCTAATATTAAAACACCGACAAAATCTAAGGCATGACTCCAAATAATACCACCAGAAGGGAGAAATAGACTTCTTTACGTCTAACTCTATATACCCAAAAAATTGAACCTTCTCTTCCACCAGATTTCAAGGACTTGGCCGTTCCAAACTCTTCAAGTGTGTTTGTGGGTCAAATGAAGAATCATCAACAGTGGTGAGTGGTGGGAGGAAAGTTGTGAGATCCCACGTTGGATGTGTTTTAAAACTGTGAAGATGACGGTAATACGTAACGAGCCAAAGCGAACAATATCTAGTGGCAGTGGGCCTAGACGGTTACAAATGGTATCTGAGCTAGATATCGGGGCGGTATGCCAATGAGGATGTTGAGCCCTGAAAGAGGTGGACCGGATAGTGTGCTAATGAGGATACTGAGCCTCGAAGGGAGGAGAACACTGGGCAGTGTGCCAATAAAGACGATGGGCCCCAAAAAGGGGTGAATTGTGACAATATCTACTAGCGGTGAGCCTAAACTGTTACAAATGGTATCAGAGCAAAACACCAAGTAGTGTGACAGCGAGGACGCTGAGCCCCGAAAGGGGGTGGACACAGGGAAGTGTGTTAGTGAGGACACTGAGCCCTAAAGGGGAATGGACACTGAGCCCCGAAGGGGATGGACACCGAGCAATGTGCCAATGAGGACGTTGAGCCTCGAAGGGGGTGGACACGGGATAGTGTGCCATCAAGGATGTTGGGCCCTAAAACGAGGCGAATTGTGAGATCGCAATACTGGATTTGTAGATTGTGAGATTACTTAGTTGGAGTGGAATGGGACATTACAACTGCTCCCTGGCTGCAACAACAAGAAGATGAAGAAAGGGAATCCGCATCTGCCGCCACTACCACGACCGATGCCATCGCCACTGCTGCCACCACGAAAGCAGCCTCAAATCAGCTCAACCATAGCTTGATGGGTCGGAGCAGGTAATTAAAAAGTTGATCTTTATTATTAACCTGGAGGGTGAAGTTCAGTTGTACTTAGATGGGGAGAGGCGATTTTAATCTTAAAACTTTAGATTTTATCTATTCAAGTTGGTTGGTTGTTCCCATTTAAAAGCGTGGGAACAAGATAGTGGACTGCACTTTCTTGCATGTGCACAAGTAGTTGCTTTCAGGAGGAGGCCCCGCCATAGACGCCGTACCAGAAACCTGCTGGTGCTCAACCAATTGAATTCCACGCAATTGGAGAAGATCTTGAAGGCCTAACGCCAAACATGTTCAACTGCCACGTCGGGAACTTACTACCAATTATCCGGAATCCCTCGTTCTTCTTAGCAAGGACAAGGGCTGCTTGCTGTTGGGGTGCATGATATAGTTTCTATGAATGTTTAACTACTTATTTCCAACTAAAATATCAAATTTGGAAAGAAGTATTTGAAAACAATGAAAGAGGAGTAAAAATGTGTTGATTAAATACTGAGCAAATACAGAGGAGGGAGATAATAACAGCGATTACATTTCTGTCTGATCAAAGGAAATGATGGGAAGAAAGTGAACATTAATAATTAGTTGAATAATTAGTATGTCCAAAGTAGTGGGGACTGACAAATCAAACCCAGAAAAAGAAAAAGAAAAAGAACACTCAACCCTCCTCTTCCTCTGTAAAACTTTAAAGAAAAGAAGCAGAGAAGAATGGAGTCAAAGCCAGAGAGCTCCGGCGTCTTTAAGGAGCGGGACAAGGGTGCCACTGATATGGGAGGCCATGACTCTATCCATGGCTCCCACCAGCTTACCACCAATAAACACGACGGGGACGGCAGAGGAGGTTCCCAAGAGCGTCATCAAGGCCTTCTCCATCTCCCCGCCTCTGGGGTCCTCGTCCAGCTCGTGCACTGTTGGATTCACTCCCATCCCACAAAACAGGCGCTTTATAGCATGACACATGCAACACGTACTAATGCTGAATATCACCACCGCGTTCTCCGCTGCCAACCGCTCTATCCGCTCCACCGGATCCTCCACGGCGGCGGTGGTGGCCATATAGCACCCCCAAGATGGCGTGGTTTGGTAATGCATGTTGTTCACAAACAAAAAAAAAACAAAGCGCAGAAGATGGATGAATGGAATGATGAGAATGCAATTATTATTTATAGAGGGGAGGGTTTGAAAGATTTGAGAAGTGGGGGGGGAGTGTTGTTGAATATTTGTTTTTAAGGGACAGCTTCTGAGGTTCTTAATTTAATAAAGGACCAAAAAGCCAAAAGCTTTGGTCTCCCTTTAAAAGTAGAAGAGCGATAGTGGTCAGCGAGCGCATGCGATATCTCAAAGACAGAGAGGAAGACCCTGGAGCTCCCATTTTTTTTTTTTAAACTAGAATCAAGAGGAGAAAAAGTGAAACAATTTGGGAAGAACCACGACAACATGAACAAAAGAACACCTTTTTCTTTCAATTTTGATACCAACTTCAACACCTTCAAATGATACCAATGCACTATTAACTCTTTGCATCCCATTTTTTAACCACTCCTCTTACGTGTTAAAATATGTCTATTAAGGGTAAATTTTCATCATTTCTCTCTATTTTGTAATAGCCCAAGTTTACCGCTAGCAGATATTAAACCGCGTCTACTGAGGAGAGATTTCCACAAAAAGATTTCATTCCTCTCTCTTTTGTAACAATCGGTATTCTCTATTTTGACCCGTTACATATCATTGTCAGTTTTATGGTTTTAAAACGTGTATGTTAGGGAGAGGTTTTCACACCCTTATAAAAAAATGTTTAGTTCCCATCTCTTTTGTATCAGTTCTTATTGTCCGTTTTGACTCATTATATATTACCCGTGAGCACCACAGTTTTTAAACGCGTCTCCTAAGAAGAAGTCTACACTTATTCCTCTCTCCAGCGAGTGAGGTATTTATACCCTAGTAAGTTAGGGTGACAAAGGTTGAGGTGTTTTGGGGTACATAATAATTAAAGTAATGTCTATATTCTTTGAATCTGAAGGGATAAGTATTAAGTAAGCAGGGTGATCCTGTTTTTTGTTCCTTGTTTTCCCCCTTTATTATATTAGAAATAAACACGTATTGTAGACGAAACATGTCTGATCTAAAATCTAAGTTCTTCCTAGGAAAAACAATCGAACTGAAAAATCAAGTTACCCAACCAAAAAAAAAAAAAAAAGTATCTTGAAGGTTGTCGGCCGGCAAGAGAGAGAGAGATCAGACGGCTGCCACTGATCTTGATCATTGCATTTCAGTCCCTTTTGTTGAATAAAATAATATGGGTTCCAAACAAAACAACGTGGACGTCACAAATCTATGTTTCTTCCCTTTTCCAAATTTAAGGTATGCGTCTTCTTTTGTTCCATCGCTTTTTCTTCCATGTATTCATCAATTTACTTACCATGGTCCTAATGCGTTAGGTTAAAAATAGAATGGTAAAAAATTGAGTGTGTGGTGCAAAAGTAAAAATGGGAGTAAAATAAGAGGTAAAAGGGAAAGGTGTTCAAAGTTAGAGAATTTTATTATTGTTGTTGTTGTTGTTGAAGTAGAACAGTGATATTGGTGAGTGGAGTGGGAGCACGCATGTTTCTCTTATGTTCCAGACATGTACACAACATGTTCTCTCTTATTACTATATATTAATGTTTTATACTTCTTATGTTTTACCCTCTGTTTCCTTGTTCTTTGTTCTATGTTTTGTTCATTTCTTCATCATCATCCACACTTCTTTTCATACTACTTTTCCCTCCAAACAAGCATATACTCCCACTTCCTCTCAAATCGGCTTAGCTAAGTTCCCACGTTGGTTGGGGAAGATAACGAAATATGGGTATGAAAACCTCTCTCTTGTAGATGTGTTTTAATTGACAGACATACGTAATGGACCAAAACGAACAATATATGCTAACGGTAGGCTCGAATGGTTGAGTGCATGATTGGGTATGTTGTTTGCAGCAGAAAGCAAGATTTGTGAGGTGGTAAAGGTGAAACCATTTGTTGTATTGTGTAGTTGAGGTGTAGAATTAAGTAAAGAAGGGGGGAGAGGGAGTGCGGGGCAAGGTGTGTGGGAATGACTTATGCTGTCTATTGGTCTCCCACTTTTGGGAAGCAGGCCACAAATAGATTTGGAGTTATAGATTAGGGAACCCCAAGTAGTAAGTAAAGGCATGGCCTTTCCTTGATCTCTCTCTCTCTCTCTCTCTCTCTCTCATTACCTGAGCACACAAAGGTGGCACGCCCTTTTGAGGGTGTTAATTAATTAAACCAAGCCACCCCTTTCAAGGGCTTAAGGGCGTACTTAGAAGAGGAGAGGAGAGGACAGAAGGTGTGGGACAATGGACGCCCACTTTGGGCAGCCTTTGCTTCTCATTTTTGCTGACGTTATCCCAACGTTGACTGCTTTTTAAGCTTCTGTCTTCTTCTTTAACCTATTTATGTATTCTTTTAGTTGGAACCCTGTGCTGCATCCATCTCTGTTTGTCGCATTTTTATGCTAACAGTTGTTGGGATTCTCATCACTCCCATTCTTCGTCCCTTGTCCATTTTAATCCGTTACGTTACGTTACGCATCGTTGTTAGCTTCACGATTTTATAATGTGTTTGTTAGAAAGAGTTTTCCACGCCCTTGTAAGAATGTTCTATTCTTCTCCCCATCCGATCTTCCCCTTAAGAGATCAAGCATCTTCTCTGGGGGTGACCGACTTTGATATCATATATAACAACCTTATTCCACGGCTAACATATATTATATATTCTGGTTCGTTACGCATCGTTGTAGGCCTCACCATCCTAAAATCTCTTTTACTACTCGGCTCGGCTTGGCTTGGCTTTTGAAGTATATTAAAGAATAAGGAGAGTGTGTTGTGTGTAGTGTTTTGGTGTTGGGATCTGACGGGAAGGTGCTTTTGTCTCCCTCTCTTGGCCCCATGCTGTTTTGTCTCTCACTCTTTTAAGGGAATGTATGCTTCATTGCCCTTTTTCCTTTATTACTTCCATGTGGATTAACAATTATTAAATAGCTTTTTGCTACCCAACTTTATCCTCTTCCGCGTGTTATACAACAAGCTTAATCGTTTCTTTTCGAGATTAAATTGGATCAACTGAGTGGAGCATGACTTTTCTAATTCTTTTGACACCCATCAACTACCACCTTGTCGTGAGCTTTGCAATACAACCAAATGGCACACATTGGACCTCGAGAATGGGCCACCTCAGCCTTGGTCGAGGTGCCATTTGGGCATTTCTGGCTACTGCATGGTTGGCTGGGCTTGAATAGTGATCGGCCCAGGGCTTTCGATGCTGGTTGACCCAGGACTTGGTCGGCCTTATGTGAGCCCGATCGAATCCTGGTTCTCGAGCGTTAGATTTGTAATAAAAATTTGCCTGAAAATGAAATTCGTCTGCCCGCCATACGCCACCACAATCATTTTCGTGCCCACACCACTCCCGCCAAATCCTGCAACCGGTGATCGCCGGTGACCGCCCCAAACTTCCGGTATCCTTCATTTTCTTGTTAATCTCTCTTCCCGGCTTTCTTTCTTTTTTTTCTTGCCGTGGGACTTCCGACCTCGTTCTTCTTCAACTCCTTTTTGATTCCGCCATGTTTGATGTTCGATTAACGATTCGAATTGGCCAGTAGGGTTTTGAGTTATTTCATTTCTCCGCTTATCCTATGTGAGCCGACTGTTTCTATCGAATTCGAACACAATGAGCGCTGTGAATATCACGAACGTTGCAGTTCTTGACAACCCATCGCCCTTCTCTACTCCCCTTCAGTTCGAGATCTCCTACGAGTGTTTGTCTTCTCTCAAATACGGTATTCCCTCGATCTACTTTTTGTCGCTTTCTATGTCCTATGTATGTTCATTGATGATTTCCCGTTCAGTACTATTTCAATTAAGTTTTATTAGGGTTTACTTTTTAGAGGTTAATCTTCCGGAGCCTTTTGCATAATTGACTGTGAATGCAATCTCGGAAAAGTTCAACTAATGCCAGGTAGTTTTTGGTAACTTACGAACAGGTTTGTAGTACTCGAGCGCACCTTCATACCCAAGTCCTTTAGTCTTTGACTTTGAATCCTGTATCTAATATTTCTTATCTGTGTATAAAGTTTCTGCTTACATCAGCCGAATTACTTGATGGAAAGAAAAATGTGGTTTGATTGTAAAAGAATGTGTAAGATGACCTTTCTGGGATTTGTAAGAGAATATAGCTCTGAACAGTTTCGGGGAATGAATTTGATCCCTTGATTTTTGGATTGGTAATGAACAGTGTTTATACCTTAAAAAAAATTTGTCTCCACTTAATCTCTAATATAGTTTCTGTCACCTCTTCATGGGCGCTTTAGTTTATACCATTCTAGCGAGTAGTGACTAGTGAGAGGGGGAGATGCTATAGTTATTTCTAGTCTTTATCCTTATCATTTGGTGCAAACTGTAAATGTTCTAGAACTGGATATTTGGTTTCGGCAAAATGGCTAGTTAACTCTTTGTCTTGGACTTTTAGGTGAATATCTTATTGTCGTCTTGGTCCAAGCTTTTATTTACCTGTACCTCTAAGGTTGCAAAATTCTCTGCATGTTTTTGAACATGAGCCTGAAGATACACTTGGAAAGTCTAGGACCTTATTCTATGTTATATTGCATGTTAGTGAGTCTGCCAGTGATTATCATATCTTGATTCCTAATATTTTCCCTTTGTATTCATTGCTACTCCATCTAAGATTGAAGGTAATTAATTGATGTTGTTAGCCCTATATATGTTGAGGGATAGGATATTACTAATTTTCAATTTATTGGATATGTAATGGGATAACTGATGATGAACCAGAATATTTATCTTAGTTTATTTATGTATCTCGGTCAATTGGATTATTGTATGAGCATATCAAGTAAAGAATTTTGGCGTTTCCTGAGTATGATTAAATTCTTGTGATGATAGCAACATTAGATAGGCTGCAGTGGCTTTATTGGTATCAAGTTAAAAAAATTTCTTTGATATAGGTTTATGATGAAACTTAAAAAGTGATTGTTTGATGTGTATATGGTTTGGATGTTGGCTATTGAAAATGCACCATTTAGTTCTCCAACTTCTTGCTTTGCGCTCAACATTAGGATATCTCAGAAGAAACTATGTTCTTTGTTTAGTCAGTACTCCAGCAACGTGGTATGTATTTGATTAGGCTCTTGAGGTACTTGTGGCATATGTTTAAAGAACACTCTTGTGTACTTTAGAACTTAGGCGGTGTATGTTAACAGGAAGGCAGGGAACAGAATCTGAAATACTTTCTGGTATTTTTTATGGAATAATGGCTGCAGGTCATTGAAATCAGTCACTTTTTTTTTTCCTAAGGCTTCAATGAATGATGTATTGAAGACGTCCTTACAGAAATTCAGATTTGTTTTTTACTTTTATTATTTATTTTTAAGGAACCTGTTAGAAACACGAGATCTGTGTTAAACAAAAGGAAAGTGCATTTATGCAAAGCCAACTAGTATATATAGTAGGCCATAGCACCTCAGAACAATTGGTTCAGACTGACCAAAAGAAAGTCTAAGCAATGTTGGATTGGATTAACTCTTGGTGGAATGGAATTGGCTTAGAGTCGAATGTAACAGTTAGCTAACTTCCGTCTGACAGACATGGGATATGCAACAGGTGCATTGGTTCATTTGAAACTTTGGCCGTACAGTCAACAGTCTTTATTAGATTGAAGATATGAAAATTTTACTTCTCACTGTTGTTGTCCACTTTGTATCATCCAAAGAGTGGGTACAATCGCTTACAGTCTGGAGTTACCTTCAGGTGCTCTTATTCATCTGATGTTTCATATTTTCCAACACAGTCCCTAGGGAGTTGGGACACAACCGAACCCCCTGGATAAGGCGAAAATGAAGCTCTTCTTGATATTTTCGGTCTGTGTTATTGTGGTAATGTATGGATCTGGAGCAGTTTGTAAGAAGCTTCATAGAAGCAAGGGGGAAAAAAAAAGAAGAGAAGTATGATTAAGCAACTAGATTGAATTGTATCATTAGGCGTGGATATTTCTTGAAGAGGTGTGAATATGCAGTTTTTTATATGACACCCCGAGAATAGTATAACCAATTGATGAATGGAAATACTGTTAACTCTATTTTTAGAAGGAAATTTGAGTGGAAGTATGGGGTCTTTTTCTCAAGGTGATAAGCACCTAGTGCATAAGAAATTATTTTTATTGTTGAAATATTTATTTTATTGGATTAGAAGTATATCATTTTATTGGATTGATCTATCATTGTACTTACAGTAGTACCCTCTTGACTTAACGTCTCTAATGTTTTCTCATTCTGTTTCAGATTTGGAATGGAAACTAATTTACGTGGGGTCTGCTGAGGTTGAGACTTATGATCAACTCTTGGAGTGTGTTCTTGTTGGACCTGTCAATGTTGGTAATTATCGTTTCGTATTGCAGGTAAACTTCTGTAACGAATTTCTGTATTTTGTTATCATACAGCATCTTGATTATAGAGCTACCCTTGCTATCACTCCCACATGGATCATTCCCAGGCTGACCCTCCGGACCCGTCCAGAATTCCTGAAGAAGATATCATTGGTGTAACTGTACTTCTGTTGACCTGCTCATACATGGGTCAGGAGTTTGTCCGCGTCGGTTACTACGTAAACAATGATTATGATGATGAGCAGCTAAGAGAAGAACCTCCAGCCAAAGTCCTGATCGATAGGGTTCAGAGAAACATTCTCTCTGATAAACCAAGGGTTACAAAGTTTCCCATTAATTTTTACCCAGAGACTAATGATAGTGGAGAGGAACCTCCTAATGATCCTGTATTAGCTGAAACCAACGGAGACGAACAACTACCTGCTTCGCCTGAACATCCTTCAGACGAACAAAGTCCAGTCCCTTCCAACTAAGTCAGAGTATTCCTGTGTCATGGTCGTTAACTTGTTCTCAAAGATCATCATTGCTGGAATGTGGATGGTTTTTGGCTCCAAAAGCTGATATAATTTTTGAGAATATGATGGTTGAAATGCAGTCTTCAACAGCTGAATTTGCGACTCAGTTCATTACACGTTGACTTGTATTCCCATGGTTTGTACTTTGTACAAAGATAGTACAAATTCATTATTTTGAAGGCCTTGTTTGATAGCTAGAAAACTTTTTGGCGTTTAAATGGAGCCGAGAAACTGTTAGATGTTCATATTTGGAACAATTGTGTGTTGAATTGACCACAAAAACCAATCTACAAAGCTATTTTGTTGCATAGATTGCGATTTCTTTTACTTGTAATTTCCATGCATTGGTAATTGCTAAAAACAGTACTATTTCCAGCTCTTATTATAAATGAACTATTAATTGCATTGAATTATATAACAATAATGAATATGATGGAAGCTTCTTTTGTTAAGAAAAAGCTTCTTTGATTAGAGAAGAGAGGGAGAATCACGTTCTTTAATTGGGTGGAAGGATAATATGTGCGAAATGAATGAGATGATGTTTCCGTTATGTTGTTTATATATTCATATTCTTTTGAGCCACCGCAAGAAAGGGATTTATTGTCAAAAATAAATTGAGATTTTTTTAAGGATGAAAATTGAAATAGGGGATAGAAATAAATCTCTCCCTATAAATAAATATGTATAACTCACCTCACTAGTAGTTAATGTAAATGGTAACATTAAATTTAATAATATTTTATATTAAAAAGAATTATTGCATTTTTGTTGAAAAGCAAAAAAGTGGTATGGGATATGTATATATATATATATGTGAGGAAGGGGTGGGAAAGGAGGGAGCACTTTAGGTATGGGAAAAAAGGGGGACACAGGTGACGTTATGGGCTTCCCTTACCCAAATGGGGAATAGTTTTGGTGTTGGGTGAAAGGTTGTTCTGCACCCGAAGGGGATATGCCTAAGGACACCTTGCTCACTCTTAAAAGGGGATATGTCTAAGGACACCTTGCCCTACCAACTTGGGGTCACATCATGAAACAACCCTTCCCTTACCCAAAAGGGATATATACATGAAAGGACACCCTGCCCTACCCACTTGGGGTCACATCATGTCACAGCACTTGCCACTAATGGCAACCCCCTCTCTCCCCTTGCCTTAACATCATCAATTACTTGTGTCAGATCTTCTTTTTAATATACATGGTTAAATTAACGAAGCTGAAATATATAATATTTGTTATAAATACATACGATTCTGGAAAAGAAAGGGGAAGTGAAACAATCCCCCACCAATGTCCAAAAAGAAGCCCAAATGATAAGAAAATATGGGATAAGGTTATAGTTTTAGTGGTGGGGGATTGCCCATTGTTGTTCCCCTTCTCCATGCTTCTTCTCAACTTGCCAACCATTCCCTCCCCCTCAACCCCCATCCACCCTCTTCATTTAACCCTTTCCAGATTCCTTCCTCACAAAACAATTATTCCATATTCCAATCATTTATTCTACGACATCACCTCAATCATTTTAATATGTTTGGTTCTCACTCGCACACCACATTTTAATTTTAAGCACTTCTTAATCATCCTATCTTTACCATCATTATCATTCAAAACTATTTTCAGTCCATCCATGTATTCTTCCTTTGTTTAGACGTTTTTGGGTTTCACAAGCTTGACATCCCCCTAGTGAAGGTTAAAATCTCAAAATCAATTCCCCCGTCTCAAAATGTGTGAATATCTTCTACGCATATCAATCAGACAACACGAAATATTGAATCGATACGTCTACAAAAGTAAAAGTTAAAGCTAAAGATATAATATCACGTCGTAATCGAAATGCACGAATATTGTTCACACAATGAAACAGAATGAAATACGGAACCGATAGGTGTAGAAAAGCAAGGGTTATAATGAACGGAGAAAAAGTGAAAGAGACTAAAACGCGAAAAGAAATACATAAAAGATAAAAGAATTTTGCATTGAAGTTGAATTGGAATGGGTTGAAAGTTTAGAAATGGAGGAGGAAATAGGTAGAAAAGGCATCAGAATATGATGATTTAAGAAGTGGGTGTTGAACACTTTATTGAATGAAATGTAAAGGGTGTTAGGGCTGCGAATGGAGGACCCCAAAGGCATGCCCTTTGCTATAAATTCAGACATTGTTGATCAAGAACCATCCATACAAATTCAACCCTCTTCTTCCCTCTCTCTGTCTCTCTCTGTCTCTAGGGGCTTTGTTTTGATATCATATTTGTGTTGGTGCGTGTGTGTGTGATTGGTAAGGGGAGAAGGTAAAAATGTTGACAGAAGATAGAGAGCACAGATGATGAAGTGCATATCCTTTGCATCTCACTCCTTTGTGCTCTCTACACTTCTGTCATCACCTTCTCATCCCCTTTCCTTATAATTTTCTTTTGGGTATTCAAAAACCATGATTGTCTTTTCTTTTCCTAACAATTTATTCGATGTTGCATGAAACATGATCTTAGTCGAGCCGAGCATAAGAAGAGAAGGATTGGAAGTACTTGCTTCCTCTTCGATTGTGATAGTCCTATCGATACCTTATATTTAGTTTGTTACTACTTACTAATGGTTGATGTTCCTCTCGGTGTGAATTCAATCACTTAGTTTACGATGGCATGTCAGCCGTCCCCACAAGTGTTTTATCGTGAGATTTCATATTAGTTGGAGAGGAGAACAAAATATTTCTAAGAAGTTGAAAACTCTCTCCAACAGACCTTTAGAAGAAAACCTAGAAAATGACAATATGCCTACCATCCATGGGCTTAAGCTATAACATGCATATTGTCTCGAGGCACACACCCGTCTCTGCCAGCAACGAAATTTTACTTTCAAAAAAATAATTTTAATTTTATGCAATGTTAAAAACCTATGGATTGAAACTAATTTATGCACATTAATTTTGTATATTACTTTATTTATTCATTTAAATATTGTAATTCAGTAATTTTGTACAATAAAGAATGAAAAGAAAAGTTGTCGATCGGATGTTGAGGGAAATGCGGCGAGAGATCCGCCGGAGATTATTCCTTATCCCGTCGAACAGGTCATTGTATTTTCCTATCACACTCGTAGGACACTGGGCATTCTCCCGCCGGAGATAATCAGCGTCTTCGGCTGGCTAATTGACAAAGGCGGCGGAGACAGAGATGGTGGCGGAAGCGATGCAGTGGGGTTTGTCCGTCATCGGCGGAGGAGGACGGCGACGGGGTGAATGAAGGAGAGGTTGGAAATGAAGTTGTTCCTTGCAATCTGAAAACACAGTTGAGATATTGAAGCCGAGTGGGTGTTAGATAAACCCTAACCCCCAAGAATCGCCATGTTTTTATAGCTATCTGTATGCATATCTGAAGTTTGTGAAGGGGTTGGCGTTGGTTGCTTATTTGTCGCAACTTTAACTAACTTGGATGGGCCTCATATCTTTGCTGCATATTTGATGTATATAAATTATCACCCAACTTCCCCTTATGTCACTTAGCTAAAATATCTATTAAAGTTGTTCGAGGAAGATTGATAAGAGATTTTTTTTTATTAGCTAAATGGGTCATGGAGAGGATCTCTATACCCGTTCTTGACCTTGACCAAATCCGATCCCACCATGTGTGTTTACTTATTAATAACAAATGAAACAAATAAATATAATAATAATATTGAAGGTTAGAATTATTAGAATATTTTTAGTTCTTTTTAATAAAAATTAAATTAGAAAGCGGAATTACACTTAAAATTTAAAAAAAAAAAAAGAAAAATTTTGTGTTGGTACCTGATAGTATGGATCTGATTTTTCATAGAAAAAAATTTCAAAATTTCAAAATGAAATAGAAAGTAAATACATCACCAATATATTAGACTAATACGAGGATTTAAACCTTGTTTTTTTTTTTTTTTTTTTTTTT